ACTTGGAACCAAATGCAACCTAAGAAAACAAACTTACGAATGATACAGAAATCTATGAAGTCATAACACATTCTTCTCTCAGTCGTGCCATAACCATGGCCTCTACAAGTAGGAAAGTTTTACAGGACGATGAACTAGATGAGTTCCTTGCTCACGACTCGGAAGTTAGTGAGTTCAAATATTCGGATAGTAGTGAAAACAGTGATAATGAAATTGAAGATCAGGCTGTAGTTGATGCTATCCAAGATCATAGTATTGAAGATGACGACGAAATAGTGGCGAGGGTTCCAGTGGCGGATTCAGATGAGAGTTATTTTTGGCAAAATATGGATAATTATGATGGCGTTCGCGAACGGTTTTCTGAAAATTCGGGGCCGAGAAATCAGTCTGTGAATGTGCTGTACATAGTACAGACATTTCTATTATTTTTTACTGAGGATTTTGTAAACAATATCGTTCAGGAAACAAACACTTATGCGCAACAAATTTATATGTGGGAGGGTTTTTCCATTTAGATAACACCATCCCCCGGCTTCGTGAAAGACATTTTATTAGTAAAATCTCCCCATCAGGAAAAAAGGCTAGACCACAAAGGCGATGTGTAGTGTGTACAAAAAACAAAAGAAGAAAAGAAACCGAGTAATGGTGCAGTGATTGTGATGTTGGACTATGTCCTGACAAGTGTTTTCAGGATTACCACACCAAACTCAACTTTTAGCAGTTTGAGTGAGTAAACAAATATTATTTATCATAATTATGTTTAAAAAAATATATATAGTTTTGTTCTTCGTTTCATTATGAATATTTCTGTGAAAATTTTATCTCAATATACCTATTTTTGCGAGAGTTACTAAATTTTTTATGGATAAGTGCATTTTTCTGTTTATTAATTAAATACCCCATCGGTTTGGCGGTAGGAAAAGATTTAAATACTATCCGTCGCGGAAGGGTTAAACAAGTTTTATTGTACTTGATTTAGGGGTTTATGGACAATTTCCCTTGAGTTTAGAAGAACAAGGAATAAATTTCAGCCAGAAAAGTCTCAAACAAAATAAACATGCCTCCATGAGCAAAGAATTTTCAACATCATATACCTATGTATATGTAAGTAACTAACTAACTAACTTACAGACTAACTAAACAGGAAAAGGTCTTTCTTCAGTATGAGACATGCACTCAGTTACCCAAGATATCCCATATATACTGTCTTTCTCTGTACCCTGTAACATCCTCACCTGAAGAACAGAACCTGCAGCAAGACAAGCAGCCTGATAGGAGCCTGGGTGCAGGTACACAGAACGAAAGTCATCCTGCTTTTTGGCAAGCTCCTGCAGCTTCATGCAGGCAGTCTCCTGCATTAGGTTGATATGTTCTTGGGTATGCAGCAGAAGCAGTTCTTCTTGTGACACAGAACGTGCCTACATCATAAAAACAATTATCACAATCACTGATAATGCCAACCACAGTGCTTTGGATTGTAAACAAACTCTTTTCCTTCTTTGGAAACAAAAGTGTCTGCCTATTCACAGACTAAATTTCAGATATAAATATCAAAAATTAACTGAACAATTATTGTGAAATTTAGTATCATCAGTATGGTACTATTTACTTTCTGGTCACTAACAAGGACAGCAGACAGCTCTGTTCAGTGTAGAGTCTTCACATTTTGTATGGTTACAGACCTTTCATTATGGTAATCAATTACATGAAATTTATACAGTGACACATTACAAACACAACTACTAGTAGTTTCAGTGGTTTTAAAACCTTGACTTTCTAATCCTTCAGAATCGTAAAATACACCACACCAACAGCAAGAGCCTTTGAAACCTGCTTACCTTAAGCATATGGCACCTTTTTAGCAATCCATATTCTTCATGTTTGGAGAATATGGCTGAGATTCGCTCTGGCTTCTCTGGATGACTTCTGAAAATGTTATACAAATGTCACATTCAGGATATACCAATATGAATTGTAAAGTAACTGACAAAGCAATCTAAAACCTCACCATCTCGCTACAATTTAGCACTCTCTAATTAACAACAACAAAGTGACAGCCCATCCAAACGTGTGAGATGGTATCTACATTACTGCTTCAGTGCATGAAAATTTTATTATGTTGAGCCATGCTTCAACCTTTAACTTACGAATGTTAGATATATCTAACAGCAAGTAACAATCCCTAAAATGATCCAATGGTCTGGCATATGCCCTAGAAGACTGAGCAACACATTTAGGGAATCTGTACAAAGGAGGTAACATCACTGTTCTACTGCGTCTTCTGAAGTTGTGGATCTGTTACGGTCCATGTCGTAATGGCTACGCAGTAGAACAGCAAGACCTCCAAAAGTGAAAAAGTGCAATCTATAATAAAATTGAACTTTAATTCATGAACGTTTAATCAATAATATAATTAAACTAGTTAAAGTGAACTTGACGCAGTGATGAACGTAAGTAGGAAGTGACTGAATACAAGTGAAAGTGAAAGCATAACTAGTGACCTGAATTGAAATTCAATTCACAAACTTTAAATTTTTTAAAAAAATTTTAAATTTAAATTTAGACATTAAATTTTCTAAATTTGACATTTAGAACAATTTTAACTTGTGTTTTATGAGAGAGCTTGATATATTATTGAGAGTGAGCCTGAATAAGATACAGGATCGAATAAGTGAGAAGACGAATGTGACTGCGTGTAATTATACAGCTGTGTTCATACACCTGAGGATGACCTCTTGAGGTCGAAACATGTAGTGTAATAATAATAAAAAATATGTTGTGTGGTCGGTAAAATTGACTCTAATATTGATTAAATACACAACAGGATGCAAGAAACAATTAGAGATATGCCACAGTATTCTTATTTAAATGTCCTTTTTATGATACTGCACAATATTTACTCTGAATAACCAAAAGTGATCACCAAGCTTAGCACTGAAAAACATCCACTTTGAAATGAGGTCCCCATTCTTAAAACTCATTTTATGGGCTGAATGCCTTTAATTTATATGTTTTTACTTTAAGCAGCACTTACTAGGAAAGAAAACACTACATACATGAGATTATACTGGTACTAATTTTCTATCAGAGATAAAATATTGATTTTAGAATCAAAGTTCATCATAAAGAACTCACGGATCAGCAGTGTTTTTGTGCTTCATCATTCGTTCATCATACACAAGGCAGACTCTGTGTGGTGCAAATGTCAACTTTGTGTTTGCTATGAGGTGATCCAATCGTGCAGTTACAGCATTCACAAACTCATGGCTCTGCACTGGATAGCAGTTTCTTGTGGCAAACCGTTCTGGTTTATCACCTGACCCAAGGAACTTCACAACTGGCATATGGTGCTCTTCCTGCCCTGGAAACTTCTTGTTTGGCAGATTGCCTACAGTGCGAGGACTGTATTTGTCTTGGAACTGATAACACTGCCAGAAGTCTTGGTGAGTGTAGATCACATTGAGAATTGCATCACGTATCCTGGAACAGTTTCAAGTTTGATTTCAGTGATGGTATTATGACACATAAAATAGGAATTTATCATGTACAAATACATTCTGAAGTAATTCACACCAACTAGTAGTACTATCATGAATAACTCCTTAATTAGTCTAACACACTGATTAAGTGATTAAATTCATAAAGGCTCACAGACTTTATAATACTGTAGTGTGTACAGCCTTGACTATGCAATGACTGTGAGATAGGTGAATAAACAACTGTGTCATGCCACCTGTTTCTAAGCAACAGATCAGTAAACAAGTTCCTGTGGCAACGAATATGCACGCAACAACAGAGTTACTGTTGGAAATGGTGTTTTCTACTCAGTCTGTGCGAAGGGGTTGTAAGGAAGACAACTGGGACAACCCAGTCAGTTGAGAGTTGAGTTCTGCAAGGGAAGCTAGGAAGAGGTGGCACTATACTTGTAATTCAGATGACAGTTCAGCTGTGGGATATTTGCTGGACAGTAACGACATGAAGCTGAAGAATCTCCACTGTTGAGAGCTGTTACCAAGTAACGACTAGTGAAGACAGTGTGCACAGGACAAGACTTAGCGTGCAGTGATTTGTAAAGTGTGGGGATCAGTGAGTGTTGTAAGTGCTTGTAGTTCAGAGTTGTCTGTGTAAGAGGTCAATAAATTTATTCACCAATCCAAGCCCCATCAATGGTCACACACATAAATCATGACAATATTAACTTCTTAACATCAGAAGGAAAATACCAGTAAGACTAAAGTATTATGTGAATTTGGTGTGTCTTACCACATACACTTGCTTCCCACTTGTTTCAGTAGCAGCAATTCTGTTTGCTGGGCTCCATTTTGCCAGTGAACCAAATGAGTCTAGATTCAGGTTCCAAATTACATGTTTCTTTGTTCCTTTGTTTACTTATTGCTTTGTAATTCTTGTTTCAAATTGTGTTTCTGTTGACTGATTAATCCACCAGGCAATCAGTTATTTAAGGTATAAAGGGTAAATGGTAAAGTGACTACAAATTTGAATTGTTTCACAACCTAATCAATTAGCCACTTTTAATGTTTCTTTGTGCATCTATTTATATGAAAGGGACAAATATTTAAGAAGCGGACCACTCTGAAGCTCATACTGTCATTATGTGTTTATGTAACTTCCACCTACCCTCATCAACTTTATCAGTATATCAAAAAGGAGTCTACTTTACTGGCATAAAAGTGTTCAACAATCTGCCACAAAGTATTAAAAACTTGGGCAATGATACTAAAAAGTTTAAATCAGAGTTAAAGAATTATCTACATGCTCATTCCTTCTACTCTTTAGATGAATACTTCAATGTGAATAGAGAATGATGTAAAATTAAGTTATATTAATTTTTAAGCTAAAATTGCCTGTACTTATGTATGTAACCTTTTGCCTTGTTCTGTATCCAAAGGTACTAACCTACTTAGGATTTATAGAATGTAAATAAATTCAATTCAATTCAATTCAATAAAGATCCTCCCTTACAAATAGGTTTACATGTTCACAGTGCACATTGTCTTGTTTAATTCAACATTTACACTGTAGGACACATTATCAATAACAAAGAAAATGTAAGAACACAACACAACAAACACTCTAGTATGAATCTGACATCTCAGAGAGCTTACACACTGCTGCTACAGAGAGATCATTTTAGTAAAAGAATACTGCTGTTAGCAGTATTAAATGATATGTAAGACTTCCCTATCTCTCCAGAAACTGTACGTATAGAAAATCTGTAGAATCATAAAACAAAACACATATCTGGTACTGACATTAAGTTGCATGAAGTTTAACTTCAGCATCCCTATACATCCAAATGGTGTGGTGCTTAAGAACAGGAATATTATCACACTTACCATAATGGGTACCTCACAGTAACAAACAAAAACAGTTTAAAGGATTTTACCATTCACACCAACTGTGGACATAGGACACTGATAGAGAAAAAATGTTCAGGAGAATATATATATAGGTTATACAAGGTACCAAATAATGTATGCACATTACAGGTGTTAATAATGCATAAAAACAGATACAGGATGGGAGTATTTTGAAGTGATGTTAGGGTTGACAGTTGAAAGATGTGCATGACACTTAGTATGTATACACTGTGCTAGATGGCAGTATCCAGTGTAAAACAAAATAGTGAAACCATGATTAACATTTGAGCAAAACAAGCAGATCCTTCAGTGCTACTGGAATATAAAACTTTGGAAAAATTAATCTGGAACACCATTACCAACATGCATAACAATTGCAAGGTTGAGTGACAAGTCTGAAAAGGATGGAGCAGTGTAAAACGCAAACAACTGACAGTCTGAAAAACCTTGTAGTTCAGCTTATGATGGAAATATTGTTAACAGTGTTACAGGTCTTAATGCAATCTCCAAAGAAGACTGTAAGCCAATGATCTCATTAGACTGTGTCTGTAAAACCAGCATTCATTGGATTTTGTGGAGTGAGAGGTGGAAACTGTACATATTGAGACTGCTCCATGACCTGAATGAAGACAATCCATATCTCTAATTCGTATCTATGAGTGGCTTTTGCACATGTATGAATCATTTCCAGATTTCGTTGTTTGGTCTGATGAAGCAATTTTTAAACTTAATGGTACTATCAACTGACACAACTGTGTCTACTGGGCCACAGAAAATCCAAACATAAGAGAAGAATGAGCAGTTAATTTACTAGGAAGCAGTGTTGGGCATCATGTCTTCCAAAGGGATGTTATGGCCATTTTTCTTTGAAGGAACTGACATAGGTACTGCCTACTGCATGAACATTTTGTTTTCTGATGGAGACTGTTACTTTCAACATGAAGGTGTACCACCATATAAACCCACCACTGTGAGAAACGTCCTTGAAGTTAATTTCCTTAGAAGATGGGCAGTACAAAGAAAAATGTGGTGTATCCATCCTGAACCCCTGACTCTGCACCTTTACACTTTAACCTGTGGGGTAAAGAATATTGTGTATGCCACAAAATGAAAATCGCTGCAGAACCTGAGGCACAAAAATTAAATCGCCTGTGCTCCTAGTCCACCAGCGACAATAAAAATCTGCCGCTCTCTTCCACGCCATTGGCAACAAAGCACTGGGTCTGCTGGAGGCCATTTTGAGCATTTATTGCTCTAACAGAACCGCCAAAACAATGGGTTAATATCAGTCCACTTTACTTGTTAAAATATAAGTTAATAAAATGTGTTTATATTTCTTGGGACACTTCTAGAGAGGAAGCAATAGGAGAAGGTCCACAGTTACAGATCATACTGTGAAAACTGTATGAAGAAAAGCTTCATAATTTCACATATTATTAGAAAGATATGAATCACATACAGAAGAAAACTAAAATGCATACAAGGATCAAAGGAGGAAGCCATTTGAGAGTCCTGAGCAAATATGACATAATTTTCAAAGTATGTATTCCACTGTGTCTTAACATATTTTCAAATGGGGCAGTCAACACAACAATAATAACACTAAATAAGGCAAAATATTGTAACGTGTCGGGAATCCAGAAGAGTAACTTCTATGGAAACGCTAGAACAGACCGTTGCATAAGAAGTAACAATAGCGGCACTGTAATCCCAACCGTGAGCCGTTGTGTAGAGAACATCGGTTACGACGAATACACGAAGCGTTCCCACAGAGACAACGCAATAACAATGGGTCATTGCGTAGGAATCGCGGAACCAACAAAGCAACGTTTCCACTGCTATAACAGAGGATTCATTTGCCTAGCAGCGGCCGAGGGGATAAACAGCCCAGCTTCGACGAGAAGCAGTCAGTCTCGGGATATCCGCCGCAGAAGAGAGTCTGCTATAAACCGCCAGAGAAGACAGTCCAGTATCGCTGAGAAATTGTGTAGGCTAACAATTGTAAAGCGTGTGGTTGTGTAAGCGTGAAGAACAATAAAGGTTCTACGGAATTTGAGACCTACGTGAATTTATTTGTAGCATGACACGCAAAACACGCTACAATATATACTATCATATCAACATTTGTTTATTTGTGCAGTTCTTATTGCAACATGTTTCAACTTTTCTTTTTAGGTCATCCTCAGGCAATACATAATATGACATATTACTCAAATGACCTGTACAAACATAACTGTGAAGACATGAACTTGCTCAGAATAAGCTCCAAGAATGGGATTTTGCAAACAATGCTATGGACTTTCAATTACCATTAAAAATTAGAATATCGTATAAAACTACAAACTGTTCACAAAATACATCATGGAATCAGTCAATCAGCATCCACTGCTTCTGCATCACAATGATATAATGTCCATATCATATAACGTAAAACAAAACAAAAAACAAACTCTGTGGTTTTAGTTCACAAGCGAACTATACCAACTGACTGAGCGACCGCCACTTGTCGGCGTAGTCAGTGCCAACTTTAGCGGATAGACATAACATACCAGATGATAACTCACCCTTCACAGGGACGTCCCTGACTGGGGAGAAGAGGGCAAGGGTCACCCAGAAGCGCTCTCAGAGTCAGTGCTGCTCCTTCTGCAAGGGACTGGAGACAGTAACCACCCTGTAGAGATGCAGTGAAAATTAGAGGCAAAATTTAGCTGTCTGACAAAGACCAGTGCTTAAAGCAATGAACACCAGTTGTTCTAATGAATAATATAAAAAGTCTGAAGTAGCCAGTTTTAAGGTGTTGCCAAGTTCCATTCCAACTCAATGATATACTCTTTTTCACATCCACATTAGATGATCCTGGGATATTTTTCTCCATTCCCAAATACACCCAGAACCCAAATGTCTGTACACAGCCCATGCTGAAGATAATCGTATATATGGAACATTCACATAAAAATATAATTTAAAACTGAATGTGGCCATCAGCAACTAACAACAAACTAACAACAAATTGAAGAAAGCAGTCTTCTGGGATTTGGCACCGTGTATATGTGGTGTTAACCGACGTTTCGGAGGAACGTATCGCCCCCATCTTCAGGGTTGAAGAAAAAGTTTAAGAAATCTGCAAGCGACAACACCGTGAGAAACGGTAAAGCAGACCAGAAGACTGCTTTCTTCATAGTCACCGCCGTGAAAGCCTCAAATCTAACAACAAATTGTTGCAACTTTCAAATGTATTCTTTTTTCAGTTTTTTCCCAGTTTACTATCACCAAATAATGGTTACCTTCTTCTATTGGGGAGATATTTGTCTCATTGTTAGTAACTATCATGTAATAATTGATTTTAAGGTTGAATGAAAAATGGATATTAAGTAGTTCCAGAATGTTCAATTCTCCGTTGCTTTTACTTGTCCACACTACTTCTCCACCCCATTTCCGTTGATAACCAAGAGTTCATGGTACATGAGTTGCCAGTTTCAGTAATACTGTATGCCTGTGGGCAGTGAATAATGGTACTGTGCAGTGTTTTTTGTAATTCACTATATCACAAAATTTTCTCACACATATGTGATGCAAAGTAATAATGCAAATTCAGTCTGGCAATTCTGCTCACACCTTGCAGTTCTTTCTTTCTTGTCAGTTAAGGAATGGAGGATAATTACAGTTAACTGCAAAAATAGATACAATCCTCTGACTTCTGAGGAGGGTTTCAGTGTCATCTTTTATACAGTATGTGCAGTTATTGATTTCCTTAATTTTGTGAGATGTCTTCATCGTTTGATGAAAAGAGTCAGCAGGAAGCTTGGGAAGCATATCATTAAGTCACATGGATTCATAGTATGACAGCATACATAAATAGAAATATGAAGAAATTAACAGATTGTGTACATATGAACCAGAAACATCTAAGTGAGAACTGCATTTAATTTTGCATTTTAGTAATCATTACAGGAAACTCTGGGTCCTGTAAAAAGTGAATTTATTAATCAGACATAATTATCAACTGTTCAAAAAACTTTATAACAGGAAATTATAATTTATAATGATAACAGTGAAAATAATCAGACTGGTTACGCAGATTAGCATTAAATCCTTCAACTCTTGCCACCTGTCTCTCTTCTGTCAACAATACCTACCTCAAGTATAACTGCAACTTTCCCCCCAGCGAGGCATAGTAGTGAGTTCAGAAGATGGGCATAACATGCTGGGGTAACCTCCATCTCACCCTAAAATTTACAACACTGACTATCAGACAAGACAACTGGAACAGGTTTCAAGAATATATTAAATCTCTATTAAGCATGTCAGGCCTATTTTTCTTAATCCTTTCACTGATATGAATGGAACTGTTTTTCCAAATATACAAGATGTTGCTACATCAATTATTGTATTAAGAAATACCTAATGGTGTGTGTGCATACAAAAGAACTGAGACACAAACCCACTTTTTAAGGTGAGTTGTACATGCAGGAATTAAACAGAGCACTTATGTCCACATTCTGAGTGAGGTGGATACTGTCTAACACCTGCTGGCTGACAAGTCTTCATTTAACAGTGAAAGGGTTAACAAATTTAAAAATGTCATGCTAGAACTTCAATCATTTTAAGTTTCCTTTAAGACATATTCTTAATTGTTCCTACAACTTACTGACCATCCAAGCAATAACACTGAACAGCAGCACATGCACACAGGCAAAAGAGGCCTTTTATGAAACCAATTTTAGTTTTTATCATAAATGTTTTGGTTCATGATTCGGCATAGAAAGGGAAAATATGCAGCGGTCTCATGTTCAAGCTGTACAAGCTTACATATCCTTAAACTTTTTTTTCCTGTGTAGGTTATTTTATGTCAGTATTTAGGGCATATGGTGTTGATGGTAGGCTGATTGATGAATAATGAATTAGAAGGGATTCTGAAGGAATCACTCTGGACTACCGAGGAACTGGCGAAAATCACAACAAACAAAGTCAGGATAGCAGATGTTCCAGCTCATATCTTAATCAAGCACCTCCCAAACAAAAATGTAGAGCAGTACAGCTATGCCAACCTGTTTGGATAAGAATCCTTCAAGCATTCTCTGGCTATGTCCACCTAGAGTTGGAGAATATACCATGTGTTGTGGGACATCACTTCCAGTGACCCGGCACATTCAAATTAATAGGTCTATGGCCACAAAGAACATAAAAGAATAAAAGCGTATAAAGAACAATTACCTACATACACCATGAAAATGCAGATGGTGTGAAGGTAAAGTTCCACATATGCTGCAACTCAACATTAAATGAAGGTGAGTGGTTAGGTTCATGTATACCAACAGATGTTAGAAGTGGTTTCTTTAGTTACAGCATCACTCCACATATTGTTACTGTCGTGTGATCCCCCCCACAAACATTCTGGAGGCCGAAGAGACCAAACGTTACACTATAATAAAGAATATAAAAAAACTTCTCAAAATCACTATTGCTGGGAACCTGACAAATGTGACATTTATAATTCTAGGAATGCATAATGATTACAGTACTATATAAAAATCATACATCCTTCCACATCACAGACATCATGCATGAACTGTTCCATATATGTATGGGATACGCAGAATTGTCATAGTATCTACAGCCATGAAGGTGTACTAGACTATGGCTGTAAGGCTCTCAGCTCTAAAGAAAGCGGGGCTGCTCAGCTTCAATTCTGGCCACTTTTATCCAAGGTGAAGCGGTTGAAAGCACCCACAGGATAGTAGAACGGTTAACAGTGAACAAAATTTGAATCCTGACTGTCCAATTATGCACTGGAAAATGGCAAACATTACTGCATATCCTACAAGGAATACTAAATATACTTTGTTCCTATAAAATCAAATAAACTACCTTCTCATCCCCAAGGGCAGAGTCATAGCCAGCAGACACTAGTACAAGTTCAGGCCCAAACTGAGTGGCAAGCAGAAACAAGAAAAAGAAGCATTACTATAAACAGAGCATGATATATCACAGAGGGCATCACAACAACTATGTCCCAACTTGTCAGATGTCTGCTCACAGATATAAATCCAAACAAGGTGACAAGCCATGTCAATACAGATAACTGCTCCTGTACACCATGTCATGTACCAATTTTTCTGCATGATGAGCCATTTTTGAGAGATGTTTTAAAAATATGTTTCACCTTTATATACAGTAGAGGTTATTTCTGGCAAATCAGGATTAAAATATTTTCTAAATAACTTTTAGTTTATTCCTGTCATTCAAGTATACTAGCAATAATCCAACAATGATTTTTAAATATAAAAGACACCCAAAATATATTTTCCATTAAATTTGTAACTTTAACACTTTAAAATGTTATTAAATATCATAAATTGTCATTAAGACACTACAAGTATATCTTATACACTAAAAGTGACTATCAAAATACTTCAAAATGTCTTTTTGTTTTACGTAATGATTTTCCTTTCAATTTTGCAACATGCTTTGGCTGCATATGGGCCATCATGAAGCAACTTTTAATTTGCAGGGAGACCAGTGCACTGTCCACTTGTCTTTCGTGCTCCCATGAACGTCATTCTTTTGTTGTTGTATATCATATCCAGCTACTGTTATTGTATTAGTTCTTTGGCCATCATGCTGTAATGTATAATATGTAGTGGTATGATTTTTATCATGTTGTCTTTTATGTACCAAATGTTGAAGTTTTGTGTACTTACATTTTTGTATGTCATTTTTTCATGTATATGTGTTTTTGGTGTGATCCTCAAGTACACTAACCCTAGTGTAGTTGTTCCTGCTTATACATCTTTCTGATGGCGTATATACTGCTGCTACCTATTGCAGAGTTCATACACTGTTTGAAATATGGGGTTATGTGCCTAGATGTGTATGTTGTTCATACGTAAATTCTTCTTGTATACTTTGTAAATATGATATCTCTCTCGTGTATTTAAATGTCAAATTAAAAGTTGCCTGATGATGGCCCATATGTGGATATGCAGGCAAAATATGCTGCAAAATTGGAAAACATCGTGTAAAACAAAAAGACATTTTGAAGTATTCTGATAGTCACTTTTATTGTATAAGACATACTTGCAGTGTCTTAATAACATTTTATGATGTTTAATTACATTTAAAAGTATTCAAGTTACACTTCTAGTGAAATTTTAGGTGTCTTTTATATTTAAAAATCATTGTTGCATAATTGAGGATGTACTTGAATAATAGGAACAATACCTCAATGAACAGGATGCTAAAATATAACTTTTAGTTTAGACATCTAATTCAAAGAGTAATAAAACATGCAACACCAGTATCTGTAATACAATAAGAGTAGGCTTCACTGGCTTGAAGAACAACTGGCCAATCAGAGAGAGTTGCAGCAGTGACCTCTGTAATAAAACTATGGCAAACCTCAGGACAGCCAATTGCAGCATCGTAGCCAGCAGACACCAGGATCAGCTCTGGCTGGAACTAAAACACACCCAACAACAGAATAATTCCAGCTCAAAACTGATGATCACTATATCTCTCTAAAAATAGTGTCAATGCAAAACACTTTGGGCCAATGTTACTCAATGTGGCTGTACCACAAAATTTGATATTCAAATGAGTATGTATACCTGTAATAACTGTTCACAACAAATACTAATAGCAGTGTGATATATTTTAGACATACTGTAGCCTAATATTTTGTTTTCCTAACTAGTTGTTACTGTTGTCCCATAACTTTCTTCACCAACTGTACTTGCAGTTTTATTTCCAAAAGTATTTGTGGCTAAGATCACACTGATCCACCTTCTCTGTCCTACCCTTGTTTAGTAGAAATACAGCATTCTGGATCCTAACTGTGGGCAGCCCACAACCTCCAGGTATTAACCACTGAGAAATGTATATCATATGACATGTACAAAATTTCTGTTTAGTACAGCAGCTTGTTTCATTGTGCATTGTGCCACTTGACTAGCTAAACTGCAGGCAGCATGCATTATCCTCCACTCCTTGTCATATATGTTTCCACTTCTTGAGCTTCTACTGCGCTGTGGTGGAACAACAATGCCACAGAATACAACTATGAAGGTGCATGTTTAAGAACTTGTCCACGCAATGTAATGTCCCTTCCAACATTTAACGTGTTTCAGTTGAAGCCAACTGCACAATTTTTACAACATCTAACTATGTTAATGAAATGAAAGAGCTTCAAATGCTCCAGCAGTGCTCAAGTATGAGCATCTACATGCGGACACGCACTGTCATGGAGGAACACTACACTGGATGTCAGCATTCCACACCTCTTGCATTCAGAACACATTCCTACACAGTTTTCTCTTTTTGTATCTCACAACACACTTCTGATGTTATTGTGGTCCTCTATTGCATGAATCCACCATCAGCACTCCTTTTCTGTCCCAGAAAACAGATGTCATCGGTTTTCTGGCAGGCAGACAACATCTGTTTAAACTTTTTTGGCTTGTTGTGTGAATGTGTGTGCATTCTCTGCTTTGACTGCTCCTTGGCTTCAACATTCATAAATGGAAGCCTGTGATAATCTCGTAGAGAACAGTGACTGAAATTTGTGGAAATTCACAGGAAAGTTCTGAAGTTGTGAAGCACCATCTTTCACAAAAATATTTTGGTCAACACTCTGAACAAGATCATCACTCACTACAGATTGGCCGACCACTTCACTGTTCTTCGTAAACATTTGTTTGCCCATCTTTGAGCATTCTCCACCAATGTCTCTCAGTTCCTTCCCTCATTACATTTTGACCGTAAACTGTGCATAATTCACAATAGATTTCCATAGCACTCACGTTTATAATGCAAAGAAAGTGGATAACAGTGCAAATTTCACAGCTGGTGGCATTATCAATCACAGAACACATCATAACACACTGTAGAGACAAGAACAAACAGCCCTCACACTATCCCAAGAATATTAATATGGTTCTTTTTTATTGTGAGTATAAATTCACAAAATCTAATTTTACTGCCTCAGTCTGTAATTGCATGATGTACATAATGACATGAAACCTGTGTTACCAGTTTATCTTAGGCACAGGAACTGCAATTATATATACCATATCCACATGCTACAAAGGGGAATACTTCAATTACAAGCATGGTAACTTTTAAGTAGGTCAGAAAACAAAATAGTTATGTGTTAATGTATATGTATGTGCCTCTACTGAAACGGAATTTTACAGTTAAGCATAATGGCTGACTCACAACCATCTCTTATGTATGTAACAACAGAAAGTTGCACATAGTCCAACTGTGATACTTAGAACAACCTGTAACAGCGCATGTAAGCATTGCTGTGATTTTAATCACTGTGTGTTGCATGTATTATTCAGTTAAATACAAATTAATGTCTTTATTTCGACGTGTATGCATGTGCAGCAAATTACAGATAGGACTTTTGGGTGCACAGCAAATTCTGAGCAGAATGTGGGTGTACTTGTAAGCACAACTTTTATTCATGAAGGACATCTCCTAAATAGCAGTAAGATGTGGAAAGAAGAGGTTATGAAAGTTTAACAGAATCTTTAATTTTCAACCCAGATAATGCTAACAATCATGAACATGTTGAAATATTCTTCATTTTGTTCATATCTCCATAACCACTTCAAGTAAGGAGAAATATTATGTGCCTGCATTATTTTTTAAACCTTACTGCCATATTGTATTATATATAATTGGAAGCAAGGGGTCTGATTTATGGTTGAGTATTTCAATTCTAATCAGATATTATGAGTATCTATTAAAATACACATTTTTATGAATTTTATTAATCTTTGTAATATTGAAGTTGCACTAAGTACCATAATCGTTTTACTTCTCAGTTGAAAGGCTATCAGAATTAAAAGTTTAAGAGTGAGCACATGTAACACATGATGGAATATCAGAAATGAAAGACAATTTTTCTAATATGTCAATTTCTTTTAACAAGAATCACAAAAGGAAGGATGAACTGGACAATATACATCTTTCTGACTGATAAAGTAAAATGAAAAGACTACCGTCACAGAATAATTTCAGAAGCAACTCTGAAACAAAAGACCTAAGAAGACCTACTTATGTAGCAACATATGCCTCAACATTTTGCTTACCTCGCTGGCCATTGGGAGAAGAACTTGATGGAAGACGGCAAGGTAGTCTGCATCAGTCATGCCAACATTGTTCAGGGGAACATTGAAGTTGTAGCCAAGCCCAGCGCCCTCTCCAACATAGTGGAAGTCAGATTCCCTCAGGTTTGGCCAGAAACTGCCATGCTCAAATCGATGCAAGGAAAAATATACAACCCTAACAACAAACCACTCAATTAAGGTATTAACAGCTTCACTGACCTCTTAGCCCAGCTAATTTGCTTAAAGACACCTATTTAACAATCAATGCTGTGTGCATAATACATGTGAAAATTTTCAACTTGGCAGAACAGCCATCTTTTACTGACTTGGTACTCCTTGCAGACATGCCTCATTCAGCATTTATTTATTCTACTGATATCATGGTTTACATACTGGCAAAATAACCAAAAAGCACAATGTCTGAGATAGCCAATGATTTAAGGAAAACAAACTGGCCTTGGATACCATTACACTGTTCTTCCTATTCTGACTTTGTATACGTGTGCCTGTCCTTCCTCCTCCCTTTGCTTTGGCAAGGAAATCAAATACGAGGGATATTCGGAAAGTAAAGATACAAGTACAGTAAAAATGCAAGGGGCATATCTTTTTCAGAAATGGCAGTGTTGCCATGTGAGACAGGAACTTTATGACAAGGCAGAGTTCACCAGCCAAAGTCAGAGCAACATTGTGCTCGTAGTGTGTATTTAAAATGGCCGTGTCAATTCAAAATCCCGTCAAATGTGAGGTTCATGCAGTAATTCAATTTTTTCACGCAAAACAGAGATACTGCGATTGAAATTTATTGCCAACTTGTTTCTATTTATGGCAAAGATGTTATGAACAGGCAAAACGTGGCAAAATGATGTCGTGATTTTGAAGCGTGAAGAAGTGATGTTCATGATGAAATAAGGAATGGAAGACCATCCATTGTCACTGATGAAATCTTCCAAAAAAACTGATGAAAACATTAGTGCTGACAGATGTTTAACCATCGATGAACTTCTTCAATGACCAAGAACTGTCAAGAACTGTTCTCCATGGCTAAGAGAGCAGGCAGGAGATCTCTAGGATGCTGGAATAAAAAAAAACTTGTTCCCAGGCTCACTAAATGCATCATGATCCATGGTGACTATGTTGAAAAGTAAATAAAGGTGTGTTGTAAAAGTGCTACAGGTGGATCCCCCCAAAAAATGCTTTAGAAATATTTTCTGAGCTTTGTATCTTTACTTTCCGAATACCCTTCATATTTCCAGGTGCTTAGTATTAGGATATCTTTCACATGACACTGCTGTTGTTTATTCGGTGAAGGTAATTTGAGAATATATGCTCCCTGAAATAGACCAGTTCTGGAAAAAACAAGATTTGAATTTGATATTCAGTCTGGAGTACACAATTTCTATGTGTTCTCTGTGTAACAGTATCTTGTAAAAGTAAGCTTCAATGCTATCAGTCAATATGCAAATCAAGATGGCTGCATAACTTTTTACAAGCAACTCTTTAATATAAAATTTAATCAAAATCAGTTCATTGATCTTAAAGTTGAAACACATGCAGATACAAAGAGTCACAGTCTCCATTATGTGTGTTCAATTTAAGCACATTATGTAAAAAAAAACACACAGACACCCATTGAGGTACTTAGTGTGACTAGTAAACTAAAAGGTAAACTCTCCGCGGGCTATGACGAAATCCCAGAAAAGTTAGTAAAATTTAGTATTCAACCTATTTGTAAACCTTTAACATTTATTTTTAATTTGTCTCTTTGTACTGGAATTTTTCCTGATCAGATGAAGATTGCCAAAGTTTCGGCCTAGTCATAAGAGAGGACGAATTCAAGAATTATCTAATTACAGATCAATTTCACTATTACCTGTTTTTTCTAAAATCTTTGAAACATTAATATATAACAGAGTAGTGAATTTCTTAAATAAACATAATTTGATATCTGATGCCCAAAATGGCTTTAGACAAAATAAATCAACTCATACAGCACTGCAATCATTTATTGAGGATGTTCAGAAAGCATTAGACAATAAGTTTTTTGCTTTGGGTATTTTTTTTGGATCTTTCCAAGGCTTTCGATGTGATAAACCACAAATTACTGTTGGCTAAATTGGAACTTTATGGGTTTAGAGGAATTTCACTCTCTTTGATGAGATCATATCTTACGGGTAGATCCCAGTTTGTAGAAATTGACCATGTTGATGCCAAGTCTCCAAATCAAAAATCATTCTCCTCTTCGTGTAAGGAAATAAAGTACGGTGTTCCTCAGGGTTCGGTTCTGGGACCTCTTTTGTTTTTAATGTTTATAAACGATTTGCCTAAAGCTGTTCATGAAGCGAAAGTTGTTTTATTTGCAGATGACACCAATATACTAATTATTGACAAAAATCTTAAATCTTTAAATGATAAAACTATAGTTTCTATGCATCAATTAGAAAATTGGTTCGCGGTAAATCATCTTATTATTAATATTGAAAAGACAAAAGCACTCTTTTTTCAGGGACGTGGTCCCCGTCAAATTGATAAACCGGAACTTTATTTGAATAATAAGAAAATAACATACACAGCTAATTTAAAATTTTTAGGTATATATATTACAGAGAATTTAAGTTGGTCCTCTCACATTCACCATTTAGTTCAAAAATTAAACAAAACCATCTATCTTATCAAATCCTTACGAGATTTGGTCAGTCTTCCAATTTTGAGAAGTGTGTATTTTGCGAAATTTGAATCTTTATTGAGATATGGTATTATTTTTTGGGGCTGTGGTCAAAAGGACATTCAAACTGTATTTAAAACCCAAATAAAATGTTTAAGACTGATCAAAAGAGTCAATAACAGGATATCGTGTAGAGAATTTTTTGGTGAATTTAAAATTTTAACCTTAACTTCATTGTATATCTTTGAGACGTTGTGTTTTTTAAGGAAAAATAGGATATATAACATCTCGTATTCAGATGTGCATGGTTATAACACAGTACATAAGCAGAATTTGTATGTCCAACCATGTAACACCTCACCTTGTAAAAGGAGTGTGATTAACCTGGGAATAAGATTGTACAATAACTTGCCCTCTCAAATAAGAAGTATTCAAGAGTTCAAGGTTTTTAAGCGTCAGTTAAAGGATTACTTGTTGTGCAAAGCTTTTTATTCCCTTCAAGAATATTTTTACAAGAATTAGCTTAATAATAGAACAATGATATTTAGGTAATTTATTTTAGCTATTGCATGTAATTTATAGTTTAGCTTGTGTTGCCTTATTATACTCATCCACTGTTTTATCATATTTAAAGGACTTATTATGTTATTTTTCTATGGTTTTTTATATTATTAGTCATTTGATGTGATGCTTAATCTCATATATTTTTTTAAAAACTGACTTGTCCAATTGTACATAATGTAACAGTTATGGATGTTAAATAAATCAATCAATCAATCAATCAATTCAGTAAAACTAACAGGTCCTCAATATTTGATACATGAAATGCAGAAATAAAGGTATATGAAATGTCTACTAACAGTGATGTGTTGTGGAATAAATTTGATAATGCTTACAGAAATTATAAAAATGCAAGGGGCAAGAAACAATCTGTGTAACATATGCCAGCTTTAAGTTTCCCTCACCGAGGATCACAGTAGAACATCTGCTGTGTCGCCTGTCCATGATGAACATCCCAGTCGACAATGAGTATACGTGACACACCACAGTGTGTTAATGCATGTGTAGCTGCCAGTGCCACATTGTTGAAAAAACAGTAACCACAGTACTCACTCTTCATTGCATGGTGACCTGGAGGCCTGTAAGGTCAGGATGCAGTATTTACATTAGGAAATTTAAAAACAGAGCCCATAAAATAATGGGTATATTTCATTAACTGATTGACTTAATGCTGGTCTTCAATGTAAGAAATTACATGGGAAAGTCATAAAATTTTAATTATCACCCAGGAGAAACAGAGACACAGGTCAAGAAATTGTATGTAAGTTAGTCTTTCTCTACATATGCCCCCTGCAAGGCCATGCATTAGCTGCTGGATACCTTGATCATAGAAGGTCTCACTTTGCCTGTTTAGGAAATCCTCCACTGCAGAAATTACGTCATCATCGTTTTGGAATCGCTTACCATGAAGGTGTGGAGAGGAAGAAGTCACTCTGTGCCAAGTCTGGTGAATATGGCGGATGGGAGAGAATTTCATATCCCAAACTGGCAGCAAGTGTCATCATAGCATGAGCAGCATGAGCTGCTGCGTTGTCGTGAAAAAGTCACACACCTTTTCCCAGCATTCCACATCACTTTTTCTTGATTTCCTTTCGTAATTTTCTCAGAAGGTTGTAGCAGTATTTGCCTGTGATGGTGACGCACTTTTGCACATAGTCAGTCATGATGACACCCCGCCGATCCCAGAACACACTCAACGTCATCTTTCCTGATGACAGCCGGGATCTGGCCTTGTTTGGTGGCAGCGAGTCTGCACGTTTCCACTGCTTGATCATTTACTTTGTTTCAGGGTTATAATGATAGACTCAACATTCATCCATCATGATCAGGTGGTCGAAAAATTTCACCTTTTTGTCTTGACACAACTGCAAGTTTCTTTGCCGCATCCATCTGTTGCTGTTTTTAAACCAGTGTCAACAATCGTGGCACCCAATGCGCAGTGACCTCTGTCATGGGTAACTCATCATGGATGATGCTGAAAACCGACCCATGGCTAATGTGTACCTCACGAACAATAGCTTCGATAGTTATGCACCTATCGGATAGGATCAAAGTTTTCCACCTGTGCCACAATTCCCTGTTCCTCAGCGAGAGATGGTGTTCCACTTTGGGGTTCATCTTCGAGGTTTGTTTGTCCACAATGAACGTGCCTCTTCCACCTGACCACTGTATCATATCACACTACAACTTCCTGATACACAGCGGTCATCCGGTCGTGGATCTTCATGGCAGACTTCCCTTGCAAATGCAGGAACCACATCACAGTCCGAGCCTCCACTTTCTCAATCGACGTCACCATTTTGCTTCTGCCCCTTATGGTGGCTTCCTGTCCACTTGGCACAGGAAAATTTGACTGTCTGGCAAGCTCAGGAAATGTGCCATCTCCTATATAGAAAGATATTTTGTACTTATGATTTTCTCATGGTGATAATTAAAACATTATGACTTCCCATTGTATCAAAGTTTATTGAACTATTAAATAAGGCAACTACTCTCTTGAAATTTTCAGAAAAGCACAGTTATATCAGCATAACTGGCCAAGTTTGCAATTCATTAAGGGTAGTCTTCAACACTTTATTAATATAAACGCAAAGTCACTGTAATAACCACTTTCTTCTACATATGAAAAGTTGTCTCCGTTGTCACCTTCCTCCCACAGTACGTAACCTACTGTTGCCTACGTGTTTGATATACAGCATTTCATGAACCCCTGGAGAACTAACTCAAATGGGACGCCTTCTCATGAGGTTTTTATCCACTCCTCAATCAATATATGCAACAGCTTCACTAGTTTTGTTGCTACAGTCAGTGAACAGTTTCCAGGGAGCAAACAGTCATCCAATCAGGCATTGCAGATGATCCTTAATATTTTGGGATAAGCAATTATGTATGTGCAGGGAGTACCTATTTTATCACTGACCTGACAACAGCCATGCCATTCTGAACTTTTCCCATACATACAGCATCTGTAAGTTCTATTGCACTTCCTGCTGATAGCAGAGAGAGCTTATATGTTCTCTGTAAAACAAAAAGGAAACATGAGTATATTTGTTTGTATACTTAACAGCTAAGTTACATGGCAATGAATATTAAGCCAATTAAAAATTCAGAATCATTTGAATGGGAGCAATCACTGCAGATTTTAAGGTACCATCCTACACTTGAGTGGAAAAATCTATCTGGGTGGACAGTCTCCAGGCCAACATCCTCCTGAACATGGAGCCACAGCTGATAGTTCTTCAGTGACAATCAGTCAATTCACGTTCTATTAGCAAAGGTTAAGAAGCCACAATATAAGACATTCCACAACATACTATTCCTACTGATTAAATTGATTCCAATTTTATGCTTAATATTTGATAAAGCTGAGAAACCATGAGCCAAACCACACCTCTACAAGAAGTCATGAATGCTGTAGGGAATGTTATAATACAGTAACTTTTATGGCATGTTTTTGGTATCAATCTACCTGTTTCCCACAAAATTTCTAACTTACAGGATGAAAATATATAGCATCATATCTAGAGGAGAGTTCCTCCAGAAACTCCTCATCCCTGCATTCACTGGTGGCTTTCAGAATCTTCACTTGCTCTACTGAGTGCTGCATAAGAATTTCATTTTCTGTTGCCTCACGTGCCTCCAAAAACAAACAGCGAGAAATAAGTCCCAGAGCTTCACACCTGCAACACACAGTAACCCTTGCCTTATACATTGAAGCAATAACAAGGAATGTAAACAAATTAACACTGTCTTGCATAACAGAATAAAATTTGGTTGAAGTAAATGTCATCTGATGTGGTTGAAAGAGGAGCATATAGAACATCCAAGTTTATCAGTCTGATAGGATCAGGACATTGAATTTTAATTCAATTCCCTAAGCTTCTTTAGCAAAAAAAAACTGCATCAAGTTTATTACTGCCTGAGCTTATATTAGGATTGTCACTCTGAGAAGAAATGATCCCTAAACCCTAACTCACAAGTTAACATCTTCATGCTAACATAAAGACCATCATTCCATAAAACTGTAAAATATACAATTTCTCCATATTTACTGGTAATAGTATAAAATAAATTCTGATGAAAAAAAGAAACATATTTTCAGTATAATGGTGCACTGACACATTCTCATAATGGAAGGTAGGTTATTAATGATCATCATCCACAAATATGTAAAATTTGATCTGTGGCTCCGTTATAATGCCATCATTATTTGCAAACAAATAAACATCATATATATTTCAATAACTCCATACCTTTCCAAAACTCTGGTAAACCTTTCTGGGCATTCTGGATAGTTTGGATCCCAGATACACTTATGCTCAGTCATGTGTCTGTCATAAATTATACCTGTTTGCTTTCTAACCATGTCTTTAGCTTCTCTGGCCTGCATCAACAAAGAAAACAACATATAAGCAATATTTACAAATTTGAAATTGACACAAATTGTTCACAGTGTCTCAATTCTCTTTTGGAGTGTTTGGAATAATTCAATTATTATTTTGACTGAAGTAATTATTGGACTATTATTTATAATTACTTTAATGTTTACCGCTTCATACATGTTACTACATATTTTCAGATATTAATTTCGCCATGACCGTGACTTTTATAATGTCATATTTCTTTGTCTTGCACTGGCAATGCAATGTTTCGACATAAATCTTGAGATTTTAAGGCTCCAGTTTGTCGCTTCCTTGACAGATTTGCGCAACCATTAGTCTTGGAACTTGCAGTTCAGAAGTGACATGCCTCCAAGCTCAACATTTTTCATATGTTTAAACAAATGCACGTGCCAGCCAATCAACTTCGCATTGGGTAAATTGTCTAGTCTGAGTGTAACCTATCAGTTGAGAGAAATATGTATCTTCCGAAAAACAGCATGTTTGAGCTGTAGTGTTGTGTTTCTGAACGCAAGTTCTTGAAACTGCTGATCACTTAGCACCACCTCCTAGACCAGAGTAGACGTGTGCTGCATGCTGTCAATAAAATTTTTCATTAAAGTTTCATATTGAACTGCAGGTCATAAATCACTAAATCACGTTAGTTCAACGAATCGATAATATATATATATATAACTGAAAAATACAATTCTTTATTGGAGTCCATCATAATACAACAACATAATGGTCAAGGTTAACATTACCTTAGCTAGATGTTTTGGCTTTTAAAACCATCATCAGGCAAAACACATGATTACTATATTCACACACTATTGACTTTCAATTTCATTGTGATAGTAAAACTGGATACTTGGTAACTGTTACATTACAAAATACAAGGTATAAAAATACAATGAATTATAAAATTATTATAAAATGAAAGTTAACAAAATATACAATTGAACGATAATTTTATTGAAATTTTTAACCCTATATATGTTGTAATAATCAATGCATACCAAACATAAACAACATTTATACCTGTCCACATCCTCACACACCCTATCTCTACCTCTGCATCCCTTGCACTGACTTCACAAATAACATATATCACCAAATCACTTGCAATCTGTATTCCCAACTGAGCGGGCAAAATACACTGTCAAATGAGGCACTGGCCAAACAGTAAGTAAACAACACAACTATATTATCGATACAAAATCAATAGTTAATCACAGCTATTACTGTCACAGCATTTCCAGATCAGTGTCAAATAATACTACACCTATACCATGGGCCTCCAAGCAGTTAAAATTTATTTTATTCACTGTTCTGCTGCCTGCTCCCATACATCACTTTTTCCAATCACTATTATTCCCCATAACAGACGTCAAGAAATCGCTCACAATGGCCTTGCCGATAATTTGTGAGCAATATCAAACATAGGTATATTAGAATGAAGTATTTTTTGTCTTAGCAACATTTTTCCAGACTTGCTGACTTCACTCAGTCCAGGGCACCATTTCACAGAATTTAAAAGTTGCATATTTATGTGCATGGGGACCAGAACATAACTCAAAATCAGTATGACTGCAGTAATGAGAATGAAAGGTATGCATGCATGTTGCGGCCCCAGGTGGGATTCTGATCCACAGTCTGAGTATTCTCTCATCCCAAAACTGTAAATGCCTATAACCTTGCACCAAGTGAGACTGGATCAAATGACATACATGTATTCTTGTTAAATGAGACACTCCATTAAAAATATATTCTGAGAGACATAACAGAGACTGTAGAGTATGTCCCTTCTCTGGTAGCCTGTTCCAAATTCTTTATCTTCTTCAGAAAAAACATGTAAGCAAAACAACTTTTGGCAAATAAAATCATTCACGGCTGTTTATTAAAATCTTTATATCCAATTCTGAGTAATGAAACATGTTATGCTGAGTTCTATCTGCCACTGTTTAAAACAATCAGCAACTGAGGTGATTAGAAAATGACTGACAGCAGCTCTCATACACATATTTAGTGTAATTTTGTACAGTACCATTTTCTGGTACCCAATATATACATAATTCTAGTGTGAAATGTTACATTCAATTCTTTATCTTACCGTTTGATAAATATCTTTTATAACAATGTCTGGCACCTTCTTACTGACTTGGCGCATTTTAGCATTTTTCTTTGCGGCAACAACTGCCTGTGATGGCTTTGCCTGCAAAAACACAAGGACACTGACCATAGGACTCAAAATACTTGTTCTGCTGTAAAATTGTACAAACAATATTATAACACAATGGAACCAATGTGTTTATTACACCGTATTACACTGCACTGCATTCCATGGATCCAGAGGTTTTCAAAGTGACTGCAGGATGTGGTAATGTCATATACATACAATAACATATGTACAGTACAACTGAAGTTTTCACACAAGAAAACCCAGTGGTTACACACGAAACTATTCAAAAATACATCCACATACATACACCAATATTGTTAACTTACACTAACTACACAGCCTTTAAATGGATGAGTCACTTTCTAGACAATAAGTATTCATCAACAGGGTAGAATGAGTGTGTATTAAACTATCGTTTTAGTGCTATTTTAAATTGCTGTTTTTCATTCATAAGACTTTTCAGATCAGATGGCAGATTATTGAAAATTTTGATCCCAGCATAGTATGTGCTTTTCTGAAAGCATGAGAGGTCAGCAGTGGGTTTCTGGAGATAGTGCTTGTGTCTTTCGTTAACACTGTGTACATCTACATTTGTCTGAAAATTTTCTTTGTTATTTATAATGAAGTTTATTAATGAAAATATATGTTCAAATGGAAGAGTTACGAACCCTAGTCTCTCCCGTAGAACTCCGCAAGAATTATGGGATTTAACACCCACCATGAGTCTAACAGTTTTCTTTTGCACTGAAAATACATTTCCCCTGTCAGATGATTTACCTCAGAAAATTATTCCATACTTCATTAAAGACTAAAAGTAAGAAAAATAAATTGATTTGAGACTGTCAGTGCTGCTGATATTCAACACAGATCAAACTGCAGCCTCCTGCTCACAGCTGGTTCCTCGCTTGCGGATTTTGCTACCCAAGATGGAGGCAATATGTTCCTCCAAAACGTTAGGTAACACAAGATCTACATGGCACCACATCACAGAAGATGGAATTCTTCACAGTCACTGTCGTGAAAAACTCAAATCTTACATTTGTTTTGTCTAGATTCAGGGACAGCCTTTTTTACTAGAAATTATGACACTAGTGTCATCAGCAAATATTATGAGTACTGATAATGTGATTAATGTAGGAGGGAGGTCATTTATATAGATCACAAAGAGCAAAGGTCCTAAAATTGACCCCTGGAAAACTCCATGACTTACTGTTTCCCAGTTTCAGTAGGTATTTTGAGTAAAATTCGATGATTTTATTTCAATCTTTTGTTTTCTATTAGGTAGGATCTGTGCCTTGAATGCCAAAAAAAAAATGTAATTTAGTTAATAAATTTTTTATTTACACAGTCAAATGCTTTTGTCAAATCATAGAATATTCCATGAACATGCATTTTCTGATTAATAGATTTTAATACACTATCTGTTAGCTTAAAGGCTGCATTTTCAGTGGACATTCCTTTCCTGAAGCCAAACTGTTTTGGGATTAGCACATTATTAGTCTGCAAATACTGGCTTAACCCACTGTGCACAACATTCTCAAGTACTCTAGAGAAAGTAGTTAATAGTAAAATTGGCCTGTAGTTTGATATAAGAGTTTTGTAACCTTTTTTTTCACAGTGGTCTTTCTAATGAAATTTTAAGATTATCAGGGAAAATCCTTGTAATAGTGAGCAATTACAAATGTGAGTTAATCAGTGAGTGATTACAGATGCGCAAACTTTTAAAATTTTACTTGCTGTCTGATCACATGATAAGTTTTTTGTTTTTGAGGGAATGTACTACTTTTTATCTCAGTTTCAATGGTTTCAATGGTGTTAACAGCAGGGAATTTTCTAGGGAATGCCTCTTTTAAAAATGAAATGGCATGACAGAGAGGTTGGAGTTCAAGTCCTGACAAGGTTAAGAATTTTCTTTTCTCCACGTTGTCCAAACCAACACTGGGGCCCAGCCAGCCCCATATCCAATGGGTACCGGCAGCATTTTCTCTGGGGGTAAAGCAGCCAGGGAGTGAAGCTGACCACTCATCTCCAACTAGTGCCAAGGTCAAGAGAAACGTGGATCTATACCTCCACTTTCCCATGTTTTCATGGTGTAGTGCTTAATTAGTTAAGCATATGGGCAACTTTACCTTTTTATTATTTACTGTAAGGAACTGAGCACTGTGGTCTGAGAGGCTGTTCACTACAGAAGATGTACAAGAGCTTAACCTTTCATATCTATAAAAATATTAACAACAGACGTACTTGAGGGATTTTGAATTTTTGTTACAAAATTCATTGTGTGAAAAATTGTATGTCTTCAGTAAACAGTTTACTTGTTTTCTCTGGTTACTTTCATTTAATTAGTTTACATTTATGTTTCTGCAGATTAAAACTCAGACTTTGGATTCTAGTCTCCCTAGACATTCATTAACATCTCCTGAGAGTTCTGTACAAGCTTAATATAATTAGGTTAGATGTTTTAGTTACTAATTAAATTGCACAGATTTCAAACTCCTGCTCCTTACACTGATGAGATATATCAATTTTACTGAAATGTTGATCTGTCCTAACAAAAACAGACATTCCCCCCCCTCTGTTGGCGTTTTTGGCAGAAGCTGAAGCCTAATAAGTAACCATTCATTATGAGGTGCAGTAACTCTTGTTCAACCAAGTGATGCTCACTAAAATATATTGTGTGAGGGTTTATGTTGTCTATTTCAAAAAAGTGTATTAATTCATTACTTTTGCTTCTCAATCCTCTGATATTCTGATGAAATATATTTATTGAGTTGGATGATTCTGCATTTTGTTTGTGATCTTCCAACACTGCAAGACTGCACTTAATATATATTAAACTCTCTGTGCTTTTGAATTTAAGCTACAAAGGAGAAGCATGGCATATCACAAGAATACGGTTTATATCTGACACATGACCACCAACAACCCCTCAACAATAATTTGTGTGAGCCTCTTCTTGCCTTAAGAGTTTGGGTGCAGGCCACGCATAGCATAATCTTCTCTCACAATCGATGTGTCAATAATATCACTGCGAGAAATACAGGGACAACTTTAAAGCTATTGATGAGTTCATGGCTCTGCGCTTCGCCATGACAAGAGCATTGCCAGCTGCAAAGCGCAAACGAATTTTGCGGTGAATCAGCATGCTTGACAGCTGATAACGTTTGGAACAAAGAAAAATAATTAACTTGTAGACCTCTACACAGTATTGTGTTACATGGCGGGCAGTGCAGTTCATGCACCAGTACCGGTACAATAGGACATATGGAAGCCGACGTGCCGAGGGGACCTAATATGGATTCCACCTCACACTATATGAAATCTTAACTATTGTAAGCTACTGTAATCTACTGTAAACAATTTTAAGTATTGTAACTTTATTTATTGTAATCAGCCAATGTACAGTAACTGACTTGTCCTATATCATGTAACGATGATCTATAGAGAATAAATAAATAAATAAATAAATGTGAACGATGAATTCTCGAATATTGGCTACTGATATAAGCAGAAGTATATAGTATCTAATGTATAAAATGTATTTCTTATATATTTTTTTAGTATTAAGATTGTTCTAATTTAATAATGTATATTAGCTGAAAGACTTGTCCTATATCATTGTATCATGATCTACAGGATTAATAAAAGAATGAATGAATGAATGAATGAATGAATGGATGGATGTTTGTTTATGATTTGTCAGCAGTAGGCAGTACTATACTATACTATACTATACTTTATTTCACTTCCATAAATCCTATCAGGAGTTACAAACTCATGTGGATGTGGAGATCGTCTTGGTTACAAATTTGGCTCAAGATACAACTTGTCGTACAAATATCATAAACATTCTAATACAATCCATTACAAGTAAATTACAAGTGGAAAACAATCCTGTCATGCATTATTAGCACATACATATTAATGATAAAATTCAATAAGAGATACATAATAGTTACAATATAAATAAGTAATATAAAATAAGATATTACAATGCTTGTATACAATAAAATAAAGTAAAAGTTACAAAATACCCAATATAAATAATTATAAATACAAAAATACAAATCTGGCTATTTATCTCCTTTTAGAGTAGAGTTATTCAAATACCTTAAGGGGATTTGTAACAGAAATATTCTTGTAATGAATAAAAAGAGTGTAGTAGTAAAAATTGTTTCAGTAGTACTTCAAACATCTTAATATCACTTGATACATCCTTAATGTGTTGTGGAAGATTATTGTAGACCTTCGTTCCTGAATAATAGATTCCCTTTTGATACATCCTCAAATTTACTAGGGGTAGATGGAGGTTTTTTTGTTGCCTAGTATTTTTCCTATGGATCTCTGAATTTACTATGAATTCACTTCTATTTTTTGCTACAAAAAGCATAAGAGAAAGTATATACTGAGATGCCAAGGGCAATATTTCTAGTTTTTTAAATAATTTCCTGCACGAGTCCCTCCTTCTACAACCCAACATAATTCTAATTATATTCTTTTGCATCCTGAATATTTTTATGCTTAAGGGTGAGTTGCCCCAAAAGGGTATCCCATAATTTATGATTGAATTAAAATAAGAGTGATATACCATTTTCAAGGTACTTAGGGACGTGAATGGTTTTATTGATCTTATTATGTAGCAAACCGCACTTGTCTTTGAAGTAATATGTTCAATATGGCATTTCCAGTTCATTTTCTCATCAATGTGTATTCCAAGAAATTTTATATTAGATACAGTTGTAATTTCTTTTCCCTCGTATGCAATTTTTGTTTCGGTTATTGGTTTATTATTACTGGCTGAGAAATGAATATAATGAGTTTTGTTAAAATTTATAGAGAGTTGGTTTACTTTGAACCATTCATTTATACTGTGTAAAGCAGAATTTATTTTTACATGGAGATCATTATAATTCAAACTTGTAACTAATACACTAGTATCGTCAGCGAACAGGATAGGCACAGTTTTCTCGTTTATAATTTTGGGTAAGTCATTTACATAGAGAAGGAACAACAAAGGGCCCAAAATCGAACCTTGTGGGACTCCATGTCTCATTTTACCCCATGTTGATGAATCATTTAGATTTAGCTTTGTATCAGTAATTACGACTCTTTGATACCTGTTACTAAAGTATGATTCAAACCATAGCTTTGCTTTACCTTTTATACCATAGAATTCCAATTTCGACAGCAGGACCTCATGATTGACACAGTCAAAAGCCTTTTCGAGGTCACAAAAAATACCTCCTATTAAATTTTTACTGTTTAATGCCTTGTGAATTTCGTTTGTTAGCTTATATATAGCTGAATCTGTTGAGGTGTTAGTTCTAAAACCAAACTGCTCATCCACTAAGATATTATTTTTATTTAAGTGTTCAAGTAATTGAATGCTCATGGCTTTTTCTAATACCTTTGAAAATGAAGTTAAAAGTGATATGGGCCTATAATTAGAAATATTTGATTTATCTCCTTTTTTAAACAACGGTTTTATTTGTGAATATTTTAAACGGTCTGGAAAAATTCCTTGTGATAATGATTTATTGCATATGTGAGTTAGAGGAGAGCTGATGTATACAGAGCTCATTTTTAATACTTTGGTAGATATTTCATCGTATCCATAGGAATTTTTTAATTTGAGAGATTTAATTATATTTTCAACTTCCTTAGTAGATAGGGAATTAAGCTTAATATTTGGGAAGGGATTCATAAAGGCTTGTAATAAATACTGAATCGGAGTAGTATTTGGAAAATGGCTAGTATTTATATTAGTTTGTTTATTTTTTACATTACTCTTTTCAGCTACTGATAAAAAGTATTTATTAAAAGTCTCTGCAATCACATGATTCTCTCGAATCCTTTTCCCATTAACCTTTAATGTGCATATCCTATCATTATGAGAACCCCTATTAGTTTCAAATTTCACAATATCCCATATGGTTTTATTTTTATTATTAGATTTTTTAATTTTGCTATCATATTTTAGCCTTTTTGCTTCCTTAATAACCCCAGATAATATGTTACAGTATTTCTTATAGTAATTTCTTAATTCAAGATTATTGCTGTTTCTACATGCTATATAAAGTTCTCTTTTGCGTTTACAAGATGTCTTTATTCCTAAAGTGATCCAGTCACTTTTTTTATTTGAGATTTTAATTTTCTTTTGTGGAAAACTGGCGTAGTAGATTTTTAAATAAGTATCTAAAAAGGAATTAAACATTGTGTTGACATCATCACTAGAAAATATTAAGTCCCATGTTTCATAACTGAGTTTGATTAGAAAATCATCTATTGTATGCTTGTTAATTTTCCTTATTATTTTAAATTGTTTGGCATATGATCTCATGTTTATTGTGTTAAAAGTTATGGATTGTGCATCATGATCGGACAATCCATTTATTATAGGTCTTATAGAATAATTATCTCTACTAGTAATATCAACAAATATGTTATCAATAGCAGTAGCCGAGTTTCCTTGAATTCTGGTGGGAAAATTTACTATATTTATTAAGTTATAAGTTCTCAGTACAGCATCCAATCTACTTTTCCTTTCACTGTCGGAAAGATAATTGATATTAATATCCCCGCAAATAATATATTCTTGTGTTGAGCTATATAAGTTTCTAAGTATTGTGTCTAGTTTTGTTATGAATGTATCAATATTACCAGTTGGAGCTCTGTATACAGTGATTATGCAGAATCTTTTGGATCTTAGGTTGAGCTTGACAGCGCATACCTCAAAGTCTTTATCAATACAATCTTTTGTTAATTTTATATTTACAAAGTTTAGGCTTGTATGTAAGTAAATGCATACTCCTCCTTTTTCATACAAAGTTCTACAGTAGTTTGCTGCTAGTTTATAAGAGTCTATATTTAGTTGTTGCAGTTCCAAGGGATTCATATGATGTTCTGTAAAGCATAGTATATGAGGGAAAACTGGATGTAAATGACTTAATAGTTCGTTTGCTTTTCCTCTTAACCCTCTGATATTCTGATGAAAAACATTAAACATTTTGATTTCATTTGCTTTTTTGGTTATTCCATTAAAAGAAGTGATAGGAGGAATGTGAAATTCTTTGTTAGCCTTAGTATTTGCCTCTACCATAAAAAATCATTTGTTCTTGTAACAGGGATTTTTCTTTCTCTTCCTGTTATTCTAATACTAGGAACTATTTGTTGGGGTGTTTCTACTTGGCTAATAACTGATTCAGAATTATCATCCAATTGTAAGATTTGAGGCTTTCACGGCGGTGACTATGAAGAATGCAGTCTTCTGGGATTTGGCACCACATATACACGGTGCCAAATCCCAGAAGACTGCATTCTTCATCATCCAATTGCTTTCCTGTCTTACCTGCATAAGTGCTTATCAGTGCCATGAGCCATTTGTTCCCAGTTAACAGTTAGTCAGCAGTGTGGCATTACATGGTTCACTATGTTTTAGAGCAATGTGTATTTCTGTATGACACCTACGTGAGATACGGATCTGCTGAAAAGTGTAGGTGAAAATTTTGACATAAATTTTGTGATGAAAGAGTTCCCAGCAGGCAAACAATTCATAATTTGGTGAATAAAGTTAGAATAATGAGGAGAAGTTATGAGTTGATGACATAAGGGCCAGACTTGAACAAGCACCTAGAAAATCACTGAAACATCTACCTCAAGAGACTGGAGTGTCAAAGTCTAATGCAAGAACAGCAACACAACTGCTGAAGCTTAAACCCTATAAAACAAAATTCATGCCTTGAAGCCACGTGATTCAGCTAGCAGGGTTTGTTTTTGCAGTTGGTTTCTACAGTCTGTCAACAGTGTCTGTCGTCAATCTGCAATCGACATTCTTTTCTGATGAAACATGGTTTCACTTGCAGGGATATATAATATATAAAATAATTACTGGAGTTCACAGAATCCATATCTAACCCATGAAACCGAGCTCTATCCAGTGAAAGTTGGTGTCTGGTGTGCTTTAAGTGCTAGGATTGTTAGAATATTTCAAACATTTAGAAATAAAAATTATATTTTATCTAATTTTATTTAACTACTAGATTTTAACTTTAAACACATTCAACCTTTAGCACATATTATTGACGACATTTCCCTCATAGAACTTAAAAATTAAAATGTAATATTACCGATAAATGCAAAAAAATGGATCCATTTTGATAACTTAAAAAAAAATATCATGAGAGATTACCAGTTAGTGCTAAAGACTCCCCGAATTGTAGAGAACATTATGAAAAGTTATAAAAAAACGACAATTTCATGCTTGGTGGGTGAAATCTTGTAGGTCGGGCAGAAGGTTCTGAACTGCATTATGCAATTTTTCCCCTCCCCCAAAATAACTACAGAGCAGCAAAATGTTTTCGTGATCTCCCATGTCACACTTCAGGGTAGTTTTTGATCCAACAGTGGTCCAACTGGCTTTGGACTGGTATTATTTGCTCTTACTGGATTAGTTTTGCTACTTATACTGGAGGGAAGGATCCAATCCATATTCTACACCTTTATCGAAAGAATATTATGCAACATTTAACCTTTTCATTCAGTCTCGGTGAACGTCTCAGTGGAGGTCCGTTTTCAGTGGTGGACGTCTGGAAAGTTGATTTCTTCCCCGATCGTTTTGTAGTAATCTCGCCACATTTCGAATACCTCACACTTTTCTCATCCTGTACGAATGCACATATTTAAAGGTTAAAGATGACAACCAATCAAAACCAATAACCGAACACAGCTGCTTCAGACTTTACATAGTCCTGAGGCCCTTAATTCATAATATATTTCAGGGGAGTAAGCTATTTTGTATGGAATACACTCCACTGAAATCTAAGAGAATACTAACCATTTGGATTAACCCAAAGTCAGTGAACCTGCTGTACGAAAACTTCGGACTTTGGCATGCATACAGCTTGTCACAACACCGTTTTAAGGTACGGCCTTGAAAATTCAAATTTAAAGTATTTGCGACTCTTGCTACTATATTTAATTACACACCACCAGAAACAATGACAAATAAGTTCTTTTCAAACGCACAACCATAACACACACTTTAACCCATTGGCCTGGTTGCACTGCTTCATAATTCTAAAAAATTTGACAAGTGAGCGCTGCTGAAATCTAGAGAGCACGGATTATTGTGTATAGATATGCAATTCAATGTAAATTGTGGGAGACGTTGGGAGGTTGGGAGAGTCACGGACTACTACCAGTGACATTTATCGTCAACTGTTGATATGAAACTCAATACTCCGTGGTTTTAACTCCGAGTCTGCGAAGCACGTAGATCGGCACAAAGTTCCGTACGTATTGTTCTTCGCACTTCCACGAGTCCACGAGCGTTTACGAGAAATGTTCCCGTCCACAGCGGGCGGAAGCCTCACCGAGCCTGACCTGGAAGACCTGGAAGGCCTGGAAGAATGCCGCCACGTGAAAAACCTAGTGACACCGCACGCAATTATTCCCCCACCCCGTCTCGGTCATCAATGTGGTGGCAACATGTACCTCCGAAACGTCGGCAACAATGCCCGCGTCCAAACGGCATAAACATCCTAGAGCTGTGTTTACATCAATAGTTAATTGCCGTGAGAGCAGTTAGAATTTAGTAGTTAATCTTAGCCTAAATTAACCTACCGATGCTTGATCCATGGTAGGTGTGCTACCCATGCTAGTAATCCGTATTTGCTAGTTTTAAGAAAATGGATATTGTCGCTTAAAGAGTATGATTGTATATAATGCCAATTGTAATTAATATTGTTATTTCAATATCTGCTTTTTGTCAGAAGATTCTTGAATTATTGTTAAAGTTTGTATCATTTGCTGTTTTTTGGTATGTTGGCAGTTCTTACGGCAGAAGGGAATGTAGGCGTGTCTTGTAGAGCTGTAGAGCGTAGTAGACCTAGTAGCCGTAGTAGGCTAACGTAACATTATTGTTGAAGTTCAGATCGGTTAGATGGTTTAGATCGTTTAGATAGCTGGGCTAGTGTTGTACGCGTTGTGCGTGTATGTTACAACAGTTAATGAAAATGGAGATGCTGGAATAGAACGCGAGGCAGATGTTTCTAATTGTGATCTATAAACCTGTTATAACAACGGGATTGAATTTGTTGGAAAGGGTGCTTAGGAATTGTTAACCACGTGCATGTTATCGATATATAGCATGATTGTCATTTCAAGGAGAACACGAAACTCCGTGCTTGTCTATAGTAAACTGAAATTGCTGATCACAGCCTCAGTTAGTACTTGGTCACCATTAGCAACAGCATTTAATACCAGACCTGGGCGGAAGCTTAATCTGAGTCTAATTAAGGATGACGCTGTAAGTCATTTTACATGATCAGTTTATGTAAGTGCTCGACCAGTGATTTTAGGCATCTTATTGCAGCTCATGTTTTAGGGATTGTTCGGCGTTCCAGAATTACGGAGTCATGACGGTTTTTATGCCATGAGAGAGCGAACGGTATGGGAAACAGAAAAATTGATCTCTGAAGCATGCGGTCCCGACAGGTTAAGCAATTTTATGTGTAATTTACGTTTGTATTTTAGTATAGTGTTCGTTCTGTTCCTTGTAGGCGGTCATATGTATAAGATGTATGAAGCATGATGTCTTACAGGACCCGCAAGATGGTAGAAATATTTGATGAACTGTCAGACACACTGTGTAAAGTTGCAGATTTAGCTGAATTTGTCAGGATCGCCCACCCACAAGCTGCACATTCCCAGGCTGCTGAAGATGCTTGTGTCAGTATTAGTGGAATAGTTGAAAGGTATGCACAATGTATATATTTTAATGTCTGAGAAAGTAGCACCTGTATAGAAATATCTTAAAGGGCTCCAAATTTCATTGCCTTTTGGTTGTCCAGGGTAAGTATTTAGGAACATCACTTTTGTAACATCCTTTAAGATTTTTAAAGGAACAAACAAACATGAAAATATGGACAGAGTTTAGTAACTTAAATGAAAAACATTTAAATTTGATAAATAGAAATGTATTTGGGCTATGTGAGTACAGAGCACTGAAGTGCATCCAAGAGAGATGAAGTAACAAAAGAATGAAGATGTGTATTGAAAGTGTTGTGAATTTGCATTCTTTAATTATTTTGGTGATTCAGTCAGTGGAACACGTAGCATGTATGGGAAAAATAAGGAATCCATTCAAATGTTTGTTAGAAACATTGATCAGAAGAGATTATAGGTATATAATGTGGTGTATAGACCCATTACTAGGCAGAGACCGCAGAACAAACGTAGAGTATAGCCATTTCTATGCACTAGGTGAATAAACAAACCGCTGTTTCTGAGCAGTGACTTGGTAAACATTTCTCCACAGAAGCGATATCTGGGCTATTGCTAGGTAACTGCCCATAGCCCAATTTTGTTCACAGAGCAAAGTTTGGAAGCTCCTGGAAAATTTTGGAAAATAGATGCAGGGTTCAAAACTAAGTGATTATATTCCCCATGTAGGCAACGACAAAGGGTAAAAACCACAGATCTGATACTTGCCCCCTCCCATTGGTTTCTGAAGGTCAAAAATAGCTTTTTTCCCAAAATCGATAGGTAAGTTTCAATCATAAGTACACCTAGAGGACGTGAGTTGAGTAAAAATTTGTAATGACATAATTTGTAGTCCATATCATGAGGAACAAATTGGTTTTTTATTGGAGTTTCTAGCTTCAGTAGTTATCATACATACATACTTTATTTCACTTCCATAAATCCTATCAGGAGTTACAAACTCATGTGGATGTGGAGATCGTCTTGGTTACAAATTTGGCACAAGATACAACTTGTCGTACAAATATCATAAACATTCTAATACAATCCATTACAAGTAAATTACAAGTGGAAAACAGTCCTGTCATACATTATTAGCACATTTTAATGAAAAAATTCAATAAGAGATACATAATAGTTACAATATAAATAAGTAATATAAAATAAGATATTACAATGCTTGTATACAATAAAATAAAATAAAAGTTACAAAATACCCAATATAAATAATTATAAATACAAAAATACAAATCTGGCTATTTATCTCCTTTTAGAGTAGAGTTATTCAAATACCTTAAGGGGATTTGTAACAGAAATATTCTTGTAATGAATAAAAAGAGTGTAGTAGTAAAAATTGTTTCAGTAGTACTTCAAACATCTTAATATCACTTGATACATCCTTAATGTGTTGTGGAAGATTATTGTAGACCTTCGTTCCTGAATAATAGACAGAAGATAACACGAAACTCCATTTCAGCCGAAAATGCATTTTTTTTTCACATTATAAAAACGGCTGTACCGGGAGAACCAATCAGATTAAAAATTTTTAAAAAATATTTTTAAAGTATGAAAATATGTAGAAATAAGTGTACAAAATATTATATTTTTTTTAAATGGTCGAGCAACCTATCTGGATGACTTCACATGGAATGACCCCTTGTGGTTTAGTGTAATGGTAAATAAAATCTAGAATATAATCAGTTATGATGCAATGGCGGAGATTCTGAAATTAACATTTCTTGTTCATTTAAGTAATTATCCACTGCTCAAGGAAGGTTCTGTACCATGGAATTAGGTAATTTCATACTCTATCTGAAGGCTTAGATAAATGTTATAATTCTTTAGGGATATTTTAAAATACCCTAGCAGGTTCTCTACACTGATGGTTTTCTTATGCAGACTGAACACCCACCAAGAGCTGTACTGTGCACTTCGTGCCATTGTGGATGGAGGGGACAAATTTCCTATGTCCTCTTTAGATCAACATGTTGCACAACTCTTCCTATTTGACTTCGAACAGTCTGGCATCCACCTGCCAGAGACAGAGAGAAAGCGAGTTGTGGCACTCAATGATTCAATCCTGCAAGTGGGACAGAGGTTCATAGCAGGTGCTGTTTCTCCACGCGCTATCCCAAGGGACTCACTTCCACAAAACTTACGTCAGTTGTAAGCAGCTCATTTTTGTTTCTCTTCTTCATCTTCAGAATACAGTGGGAGGTGCTACATGTATTGTCCATTCAGTAAGTTTAATTCAAACTTACAACTGCACAGTCATATTTAAAGCCACTGTCATGAAAGAAGTATAAAGAATATGATCACTAAATTACTGTATTGATGGTATGTAACACACACCTATGTTTTCAGAAGTAAATATTTAGAGAAAACATAGTTTGGTGAGTACATTGTACTTTATTTAATATTTATTCATATTATAATGGAAGCACCAATGTTTGAGGCATGAAGGAAGAGGCATTTCTGAGAATGTTACTCTACAGTAATTGCCAGCGATAAATATTCACATTTACTTAATATTTAGGTTGTTCAAAAATGATTGACATTCCTTCCATAACCCCGAAAAAGTAGCAGTGTCAAATATGAGTCGGTGTATGTGGGAAGACCTACTATAGTGCCGCTTATGGCCATGAGATGACGTTGCTACTGTGCACAGGTCAATAAGTGCTGCGTCATTTATGGCAGTGTGCAGGTGCAGTCGTGGACAATGCTCAGACAACATGGAAGCAGACAGTCACGGGCAATGATCAACTGTGGTTTCTCTGGAGGGAAGGAGTGGCTGCTTCACACATTCACATGAGGTTAGCAGCCGTATGTGGGGGAGCAGCACCAAGTCGCAGAACCGTGTTTCGTGATAGCAGAGTTCAAAGACAGCAAGGACTGTGCAGAAAAAGGCAAAAAGCAGCGGCCGTCCAGCAACAGCATGCACACCAGACAGTACCCAGCATGTGTCCGACTTGATACTGGAGAACAGGCGCATCACTTTCGACGAACTAGAGAACGCAACAGGTTTGTCACTCGGAACACTGCACCCAATCATCCATCAGGATTTTAAGATGAAAAAGGTCTGTGCTCAATTGGTGCCCCACTCTCTCACCATTGCGCAGAAGCAAAAGCATTCAGAGACCTGCCAACAGTTGCTGCAGCTGTATAGTGCAGATCCAGCGGAGTTCTTTGAGCCTCTAGTCACCGTCAACGAGTCGTGGTTCTGGCACAAGACTCCAGAAAAGGAACGTCAGTCCATGGAGTGGAAGCACGCTAGGAACCCTCATCCGAAGAGCTCACGACTGGGACCATTCGTCCGGAAGCAAATAGTGATTGTGTTTTGGGATCGGGAGGGGATCCTTCTGTTGGATTGGCTGCCCCCCAATATGACCATCAACAGTGATCGGTAGTGCAATTCACTGCGCCAACTCCGCCGATACATTCCGCAATGCCGCCACGGAAAATGGGGGCATGGGGTTCTTCTCCAACATGACAATGCACAGCCACATGGTAGTCAGCAAACCAGTGCCACCCTGGGTGCTCTAGAGTACACCATGCTGCCTCATCCGCCGTAGTCGCCCGATCTTGCCCCTAGCAACTACGCTCTATTCGATGCAAAGAAAGATGTAATGCAGGGTAAAGCATTCACCTCCAACAACGAGTTTCAGGCAGTTGTCTGGCAGTGGCGCCAGGATACCCCCAAAGAATGGTTTGCTGTGGAAATACGGAAACTGCCGGAACAATGGCAAAGGTGCATAGACATTGGCGGGGAATACCTGTAATATTACTTGTATGTATTTTGTTCCAATAAATGGTTACTGTGAAGAAAAAACACTTATTGTCAGTCATTTTTAATGCCCCTAGTACTTCCATAGTTCTCTGCCAAATGAGTGCACCATCACTTCTGAAATACAAAACAAGTTCTGTCCTTTCTGACTTGTCATATTTTGATAAATTATTTAAATCACAGATCTTGAAAGTGTGATTCTGAAGACAAAATATATATACCAGAAAGTATTGTTACAGTGTGCTTCATGATTTCCCATCAACTGGGTTTCCAGAGTGATACTGCATCTAACTGACATTTGGGTTGAAATACAGGTGAGGTCCAGTTCTAGCAGATTTTTTGTTATTTCCTTGAGTCTGATCATGATATTACATCAGTATAGACCATGACTTCTTCCTTTCATCATCACTGCAGAATTTCTTGTGCAAAAGTACGTGAGGCACTGTGCTACAGGCTGGAAGATCACAGGTTCAATTCCTGATGAGGTCACTTGACCTAATCCTTCCAGCCGCACTATGGCCATGGCATTGATTCAGCCTCTTAACAGATATGAATACCAGGAACCTTCCTGGGGGGTAAAGGGTGATGGGTATATAAGGCTGGCAACCTTACTGCCATCTGTGAGCCAACGGTCTAGAGAAAATTTGGAAGCCTCAACATCTCGCAACCTTACAGGCTTTTATGGCCTCTTACAGGAATAGCTTTACCTTACCTTTACATTTCTTCATTGTAAGAGAAGACTTTGTCAGTTTTAATTATGGAGCTCATCCAAAATTGGAATTTCACTTCCCTTTCTTACATTAGCTACATTTTCTTCACTTAACAGGTAATTTGAGGAGCATAGAAGTTAGCATATCAGTGGACACTGTACACTTTACAATCTTGCATATGCAATACCTCATTTATAGTATACAGATGTTTGAAAAAGGCACGTTGTATGTAGCTGTGGCAGAAAATATGAATTATGCAAATGACTCATCACATAATTGCATTCTGATATTTTACAGTTTTTCAGTTGATGGTGACCAAGTACTGGTGACTGGTTTGTATGCAGACTCTCCCAATGCAATGGTGCGTGAAGCAGCATATCGTATCTACCTGCACCCAGACAAACATCAAGAGTATCTGCTTAGTGAGATGCTTAGTTCTCGCCACGAACTTGCTCAGCTTTGTGGCTTTCCAACATTCAGTCACAGGCAAGTGTATTTGGATGTAGGGTGAAAGTAGGAACTGCATAATAAGGAGTGTCTGCTCACAACATTATTAGAGGGATTAAAGCAAGAATAATGTAACCTTCGTTGGAAAGATGAGAGGAAAATACAAAATTTTGGTCACAAAACTTGAAGTGAAGGGACCACTTGAAACACCCAGGCATAGATGGAAGGATAACATTAAAGGGATCTTCAAGAAATAGGGTCTGATAGTCTGGATAGAGACTAGGGTCAGACCCTTATGAACATGGTAATGAAACTTCAGGTTGAGACTAGGCAAAAGCTCAGGCGGTTAGTTGCCGTTTTCCCACTGCAGTGGCCTGGGTTAGATCCCAGCTCAAGTCATGTGGAATCTGTGGTGGACAGGATGATACTGGAACAGGTTTCCTCCAAGTACTTGGGATTTGCGGGCCAGTTCTCATTCCATCAAATGCTTCATACTCATCTATGACTGAAGGCTGGTGCAATAGGCCAATTAATGGCCATTGTACCAAGTGGACTCCATCTCACCCCACCCCATGAAACTAAAAAAAAAAGTCCTCAGGTTCCATAAAAGGCAGAGAATTTCTTAGCTAACTGCACAACTGGTAGCTTCTCAAGAAGGACTCTACTATGTGAAGTTAGTCATAGGCAAGTGTCTGTCTGCATCCTGCATTTCTGCCCTTTTCCTGTCAGTGAACTGATTGAGCTGGTCAGCTAGGTTCTGGTAGCCCTGCCATGATGTGAGCAGTGTTCTTAGGCTGGTCTTCTGTTGCATGTACTGTATGTGTACTTAAAGATATGGTTCAACCATGCAAACATTTCATTTTCCACAGTTTATGTTTGTATCTTGGGAACAGAGGTTCTCCTATGACTTGTTGAATTTTTACAAATCAGTCTGCTCTGGGCTTGGCAACAGAGAGAAGATGAGATTCCACTTCTAATTGACCAATAATTTGCATTGAACCAGGGCTCTGAAGGCAAGCACAGCAGAGACTCCTGACACAGTAAACCAGTTCCTTGATATCATGACCCAGAGACTCCACAAGAGGGCAGCAGTTGATTTTGATGTTATGAAAAAGCTGAAGGCTGCTACAAACACAGGATCCACTGAAGAGGTGTGGATAAATGATCTTGCAGTTCAGTGATCTTATTGAAATCAAGAAATTTCATGCATCTGTATTAAGTAAAAACTATACAAATTTAACAGCAGTAGAAATGTTTACATTAGATTTGGGGTTCAGATATTTTTCACTCCATTCTTTTTGATTTTGCATCCCTGAATCACTTAAGCATGTACAGATGTGTTGTTATTGTACGAGGGTTGGAACTTTAATAGTGGCAACACTGCTGTAGAGATGTCATGCAACAGAACCAAATTATGTCGCTTATACCACATGTTAGTTACATACCTACCTTACCTCAGAGCAAATGGACTCTCCCTTCCATCATCACGCTCATGCACAGTGACAAGAAGAACAGAGCCTCATCTTAACTGGCGGTCTAATGTAGTGTTGTCACAGAGTTTTCGAAACAGTACCAATGGAGTTGAATAGAGATTGAATGTGCCAGAGGCCGTACAGCACGACAGTGTCATCAAGGTCTTCAAGAGGCTTGTGGGGAATCTGCATTGCCTTACAGAACAGTGGCAAGGTGGGTAAAAGCCTTCAATGAGGGACGCCAAAATGTGGCAGACATGCGTCGGCCAGGTCGTCCCAGTGTCAGTGAAGAAGTGTATGCTCTTTCCGCGTTACTGGAGAGTGATAGACACCATACAATTTGTGAGCTGGCCCAAGAGACAGGATTAGCACATATGACGGTGCTTCACATTCTGAAGGAATGCCTGGGCATGAGAAAAATTGCATAATGATGGGTTTTGCATGATTTGATGGAAATGCACAAATGGCAAGCTGTGGCTGATTTGTTTGATTGATGGGGCTGGGAGTGCTGTACCATCCACCATACTCTCCAGACTTAAGCCCTTGTGACTTCGACTTGATTCCTAAGATGACGGAACCACTTCATGGCATTTGCTTCAGAACTGTTCAGAGATTCTTCAGGCAGTAGACTGCTCCATTCGAACTATCAACACAACAGGCGCTGCTAAAGGTATCCTACAACTTCCACATCGCTGGCAATGGGTTGTACACAATGCTGGTGACTAAAACTTCGAAACATGCATCAGTTGTAAATAAATAGTTGCCACTATTAAAGTTCCAACCCTCGTATAGTTTGTTACATGTCATCACATCTAAATATGTTTCACATAGAAGTTACAGATCTTCATGAGATATTTTATACTGCATAACAAATTTCTGTGTGAAGACTTTTTAAAATTTTATTTGAGCATCATGTAAATAAGGACTGATACAAACCAAGATTCAGTTCATCCTATAGATCTTCCTATTGACCCTGATACGTAGTTTCATAGCTTTGAAGTCCCTGGTTTGATTTCTGACTGTTAGAGGCTCTTGTGACACCTTTATCATGGCTTTTTTTCAGGCCCTACAGATAAATGCTGGGTTGATACTTAAGTATAGGCTATGATGAGCTCTTCCCACATGTTTCTGAATACAACTTTTACAGACGTTCTCTTATGCACTTGACATAATACAATTTATGCAGTTGGCACAGCATCATTTTGTAACACTGAAGTGTTTTAGTTGAGTTCACCTATCCCTATAATGAACTGTGGCCAGTGTTAAATGACCAAAGTAAGTGTAACAGGAAATGTGTCTGTTGTTGGTAATGTTCAGCTCCCTTGAATATCTTCCACTTGATTTGCAGCCCAATAGTATGCACAGAAGTATCATTCTTTCTGTTGCAGGATTTGGCCCCCTGGGATACACCATACTACACACACAAAGTGAAAAGAGATTGGTTGCAGGTTGGCAGTACTGAATTCTCCCCATACTTCTCACTTGGGACTTGTATGGAGGGTCTCAACATTCTCACAAACAGCTTGTACAATATAAGTCTCATCAGTGATGAACTGGCACCTGGGGAAGTCTGGGCTCCTGATGTTTACAAACTTGCTGGTATCAGAACATCCAGTTTCTTTTAAGAAAAACTTGACTGGTTCAATACTAGGTGCTATCAGAAAGTTCCTGGACGAGGTAAAAAAGAAATGCTGGCCTAAATTACTCAAGTTTGGCTGTCATCTCCTGCAAAACAGTCTCCTTGGGAATGTATACAGCGAACCCATCATTTTTCCACGTTTCAAAAGCACCATGGAAGCTATTTTCCTTAATGCTGTCGAGTACTGCTTGCAATTCCCTTTGAGTGTCAGACACTGTTTCAAAATGTCCCATCAGTTTCATTTTCAATTTGGGAAATTGTGAAATCACTGGGGGTTAAGTCTGGCGAGTATGGAGGATGGGTAATGATAACCATGCTGTTATTCATAGACTCTGTGGTTTTCAGGGACATGTGGGTGGGCATGTTTTCATAATGGAGCCAGTTTTGGTTGTGCCAAAGTTCGGGTATTTTTCATCGCACATTTTCTCTCAGATGTTTGAAAACATCACATTAAAAGGTAAGACTTGACCATAGTGTTAGGAGCAACAAATTCACAGTGAACAATCCCCATCATGTCAAAGAAAAACAATGAGTATGCTCTTTGTTGATGTCCGGACCTGCCACGCCTTTTTTGCTCTTGGTCATTGTTGCTTTGTTTCTGGATCATAACCATATATCCAACTTTTGTCACCCATTATGATCCTAGAGATAAAAGTTCGGTCCTTGTTATCCTTCTTTTATAGCTCAAGACAAAAGTTTACACGCCACTGCTTTTGATCATTTGTCAAGAATCAGGGAAGAAACTTTGTGGCAGTGTGGCACATGTTCAAATTTTCTGTTAAGATCTCCTGGCAAACTCCATAACTGATCCCAGTAGTGTCTGTGAGCTCATGGATTGATTGGCGATGGTTTTCGTGGATGTGTTCCTGAATTCTTCATTTTTTTAACATTTTCTGTCATTTTGCTGGTGCTTGATCGCCCTAACGTTTGTCATCTTCAGCTGACACTCGACTGGCCTTGAAAAATGAACGCCATTCAAAAACTGCTGTCTGGGTTAAAGAGTGTTCTGCAAAAGCCTCACAAAGCATTTCAGGGGTTTCGGTAGCAGATTTACTGAGCTTCATGCAAAACTTTATGCAGACATGTTTGATTTTGCCACCCATCACAGATGAAACAAAACACAAAGTTGAAAAAGCACTTGTGTAAAAACAATACATGTTCACAGTGCAGTGTCACGTAGCAGACTAATGCAGTAGGCTTGCAGAAGTGTGACCTTGCCCTCCTCTCTCATCTTTCACCGAGGCAGTTACAACAGCAGTCTGGGAACTTTCCAATAGCACATATTTCATGTACAAAATGCTTTGTTCCAGTTGTGTCCACCTTAGTAGTGTTTTATGGTTCTAAAGTGTTGTATATCCATGACTGTTTCGTTGCTTGGCGACCGTTCAGTGCATCACATGACCACTATGCAGAGCCACAGTGGTAAAAGCAGAACCTTGGTCAAATTGGAATACATAATCATAACTGTCATAATAATCATACTGTATTTCAATACAAGACCATTGTGAAGAATGGGTACTTAACAACTTTTTCTTTAGCCACCAGGAATAAACTAAACTCTGATAAGATCCTGAAAATGTGGTAAAATATCAGTATAGAGGAGGAAGAGGATGCTTAGTAAGGTATGTTAAAAAGATGGAAAATGACTGATGAGCTCATTAGTGGTAAGGATGATGGTGATATGGTAGCAGACACAGGGGTTGGGTTTATTGCTAAACATTTTCTTTTGTCTGTTGGAAATAGAGTACAAAAATTACTTTAACAATTTAATGTTTTTGGAATTAAGAAATATCACAGATAAGGTTTGCATCATATAAACATGTGAGTTACATGGATATCTTCAATATGAAGACCTGTCTGTCATATATAACATTAACTTACTGAATTGATCTATAACCTGTAATATTAACTGTTCCTTGCTTCTTCCTTCTACCCCAGCAAGAACACACATTCCTTGAATTATCAGCAAAATTAATTACAAGCTGAAGTTTGAAACTCTATTTAAAATGAAGTTCACATTCATGTTCTAAAATTAGAAATTTCATAAATCTCTAGACTGTATGAATCAAAAGCATATTGTATGAATGTTTGAATGTGTTCCATACTTCATAATTTTCATTTTGTATAACAGTTCTGAGTGTTGTAAGATTGGTTCAATTTCTACCTTACATTTTCTATTGCAGTTTTTCATGAAAGAGAGGGACTTCTAGGACATATTTATTGCGACTTCTATGAGCGCCCAGGAAAACCCAACCAAGACTGCCACTTCACAATTCGTGGTGGAAAGGAACTACCAGATGGATCATATCAGGTACTGCACCAACATAAGTATTATATGAATATAGTTTCCTAGTTTTAAATTATGATACAAATCCAGTAAATGTAAGTTCCATCCAGTGTTTTTAATTGTTTAAAACATTACATTGCCTTACATGTTATGCCCTAGTTTGTTTAACTTCAAGAGGCTTTCTAACATAATAAAATATAATTGCTTGCATAGTTTTTACAGCATTCGTGAATCTTAAGAAGTTGGTCTAAAATTGATTTATTAAACAGTGGTAAAATAGTATGAACTAGCATAAAATATAGTAAATATGTAAAATGATTATAAATAAAGTATTAGATAAAACTGTAGTAGTTACAGTGATATACAGTGAAACCTGCGTTTTATGTCTCTGAAGGAACCATTTAAAATTGATGGAAGTTAAAATTTATGTATCTATTTAAATTAATACTGTATTACATTAAAAATGTAATTATGTAAGATTTGAGGTTTTCACAGCGGTGAGTATTAAGAAAGCAGTCTTCTGGGATGTGGCACCATGTGTTAACCGATGTTTCGGAGGAACGTATCGCCTTGATCAACTAATTGGTCTACTAGCCCCTGCTCACACTGGTTCTTCGCTTGCGGATTTTCTTCTTTTTTCTTCCACCCTGAAGATGGAGGCGATATGTTCCTCCAAAATGTCGGTTAACACAATATCTACATGGTGCCACATCCTAGAAGACTGCTTTCTTCAAAAATGTAATTAGTTCACTTCTTCCACACATCCATTAAAGTAAGTTGCTGCTCCTTTGCTTTCTGCTGAACCCAGCACACCTCAACACTACTGAGTGCAGCTGTGTGTGTTATCTTTGACTTCAGAGTTAATGAGGTAAAAGCCCATCCACATTACTCGTGCTCGCATGTCAGAAGCTTACTGCTGCCAGAAAATCAGGATCTGGAGCTGACAAAGTGGACTCTCAAACTGTTTTGCACACAAAGCCTTCGCATTTCTTCACAACAGATATCAGCTCCAGATCCTGATTTTCCGACAGCAGTAAGCTTCTGACGCATGAGCACGAGTAATGTGGACGGGCCTTAAGGTGCGCACCTTACATGTTACATTATTATCATTGGATACATATTCTTGAAATGATACATCAACTTTCACCTAACTGCAGTCATCTTGGGCTATACTCAATTCTATTTCATCTTGACCATCATGGTTTGATTTAAATTGAATCCACATTTCTGCAAAATGTTCACTGTTGTAGTATATGTGACACAGCACCAAGTTTCTGCATTTAAATGTTGGGCATCCAAAACATTTACCATCATGAAGCGACTTGTGATCCATCATAGAAGTAGTTTTTCATACAAGTTGCTTGTGGTAGTAATGATTAAATTATCTGATTATTCCCTGGTCAGGTGGTTGGAGAATGCTGGTGTGGTTTGGGGGAAAAAGCACAACTTTCACAGTCTGAGTTATCTTGTGTCTTGGGGATGAGCAGCTCATTGGTTAAGGAAAATACTTTTCTGCTGGAAACCCATATTGGTATCGAGTGCCCCTAAATAGTCAGTGAAGACGGTTCGTGTAGCCCATGCTTCTGTTGGTTACATATTTTGTGGGAAATTTTCTGACATTTTTAAAGCAGTGAGGGTTTTTGTCTGTCCTATTGGCATTGCAGGTTAACAGAACCATCATCATCTCCTTGTAATCCTTTCTGCCAATGCAGTGCCCCCCTTTCAAACTTGGTGTCTTTTAGGTATCAGCCTGAAAGAACAGCCTGGTTTCATTAGCATTATAAGTCTTCTTAGGTTTGTAACCCTCAGTAATTTTGAGTGACTGTAACTTTCACAGTTTCAGTGCTGTTGAAGAGTGCAATTTGCTCTCTCCCAACACAGTTCTGGGCACAACACTGTGTTATTGCTTGAAGTCATTGATATTGCTACCAGAAGCTTTAATGCCAAACTCTGTTGAAATGTGTAAAGCCTTTTCTCTGAGCAGTGTGCCACTGATTGCCGCATTGCTACCTCTAGCTTCTTGAAATTATGCCACAGCCAACTCACCAGTTCTTGAAATGCTTACTGTTTCAGGCTCTTCCTATGGCTACAGAACCTGCCACATTGTGCATAACACTTGTTGGTGTCTTTCCTGTTTTTAACAGTATTCAGTGTTCATGCAGTTACAATCTGGCAGCCAGTGCAACATGTTTCCATATTACCATTCACTTGGGCTAAAATGTACACTTTTTCTTGAAAAGAGAGTTATTTCCTTGTCTTTGGTGCAGTCATCTTGATGAAAAATGAATCACAACCAGAAATTAATGTGTGGGTTTAATTACAGTAGATTCATGAAGGAACATTAACACAGGAATTCCTATCAAATATAATGAATTGTAATAAAAAAAAATAAAACAAGTTTAGTTCACGGCAGATTCAAAAGCAACATTGGCATAGTGATTTAATAAGCATATGGAATTTGTGTACGCTTACTACTGGTCAGAAGTCATTTGTCACTGAATGGGACTGGCAGTGGTAGGATATATGGCTTTGCTTTCTTGACATGACCTTGATGCCATAGAGTAATAAGCATACATGAAGACAATGGAGGAGATCCTCCATGAAAATGTCTGGATACTAGTGTGATTAGATCACGAGTTCTTCTAAATCTTTTCCACTTCAGTCAGTAATTGTTGTCTGACATGGGCACCAAACAGTGGAGGGCACCTGATATTCCCCTCCGTTACAAAGCTATGCCTAATTCAAAGATGAGGGAAGAGAACAGCTTGCCAAGAAATCCACATTTTAACCTTGAATACAACATTCAGTGTGTAGGCCTCCAGGTTGCCAATAAATTCAGAATCTTCTGTTTCTGCACTGCTCAATGTTTGTCATCATTTGTGTAGAATCCTGTGGTGGTCCTGATGTTGAATCTGCCAACACCATGCTGGTCAAATCCAAGCCTCTTGACCCCTAGCATGGTAGACAATCTGTTCCATGAGATGGGACATGCTATGCATTCCATGTTGGCACGAACACGCTACCAACATGTCACAGGGACCAGATGTAGCACAGATTTTGCAGAAGTGCCATCAGTATTGATGGAATATTTTGCTGCTGATCCCAGAGTGAGTAAAGATTATGGTATTGTTTACAAATAGTTTTAATGAGTATTACAGAACAGAACATTTCTGCTAAAGCCACAGAGTTTACTTTTTTAATCCCTCCAGAAAAATGGTGGAATAGTCCTTTTTAATTCACCAGTCATCCCACTGTCCATTAGTCTTGATGCTGAAAGCATTGTTGCACAACATTCAAAGACAGCAGTGACTTGGTCATGTTTTTATTCAGTAATTTGGAAATTATATATATATTGTATTATAACAGTGCTTTACTTCTAATCACTGTCTTGTTAATGGCAAACACCTCCAAAATATTAAATATGCATTATCTGAGCATGTAGGGTGAAGTTAATTTTAATTAAAAGTGTGTATAATTCTGCATTTTGGAGGTTTTATCTTCCTGATAATATTACTTTCATCTTCTTCTGCAAATGTTTCATTCTTTCATTTTTATAACACCTTTCTGTATGTTAAGTGTGGAATGGAACATTTAATTTTATTAATTGACTGCTTCAGATGCACAAAGTCAGCCCATTAAGTGTCACTTGACTGCATACCATGCAGTAGTCTTTCATCTTTCAGATGGCAGTTTGTGATTTGACTTCCACCCATTTGACCTTCAGTCTGATGGATGTGTTATAAGCCCCCCCCCCCAAGGAATTTAACCAAGTGTTGCTTGGAAAGAAATATACATTTTTCAGGTAGTACGTACGTTTGCCAAGCACTTTCAGACACAGGAATGTATGCCAGAAGAGATGCTGGTGCGGCTCTGTGCCTCCAAACATCTGTTCGCTGCTTCAGAAATGCAAGTACAGGTCTTCTACTCTGCTCTTGACCAACGGTATCATGGCTCACATCCTCTTGAAGGATCCACAACTAGTGTGTTGGCTGAACTTCAGAAGCAATACTATGGCATACCATATGTTCCAAACACAGTAAGTCTATAGCTCGCGATTCTATTACTTATAGTAGCTATGCAAGGAGGCCCAATAATTGGAGGGGGATACAGTATAGATCCTGCATTTAGTGAATTTTGATTTAGTAAATCTGTACTCAGTGTAAAAGAATTCTTGATCTTCCAGAATTCATAATTCTCCTGTACCATGGAGAAAATTAGTTACTGAGAGATTTTTCTTTCCTTGCCCAAATAACTGGCATACTTTTGGAGCAGTTGACATGAAGAAGCAACGTCCACCTTTTTTCATTAATTCAAGATGAAGACATGAGATCCTTAAACAACTTTGACTTCAAATATATAATTATCCAAAACGCCCTTTAACTTACTAAAATTTCAGTTAGTTTTGTGTATTTTGTTGATTTTCTTTTTGCATTGTGTGCGATGGCCATGGTCACAAGACACGTGCTTCCAGGCAGCAATTCAGATAGTCTTGGCTCTGATAATAGACTTCTTGGTAGGTATTCAGCATCTGGCATGTATGGGAAGTGGGGTGTGAGAAATTCTCTTCATACATAGTCAGGACAACCCTGTATTGCTTTACTTCTTTTGTAGGAGTCTTCCTAGGTGACACAGCAGATTGATAGGATAAAGATTTTGGATGCATATACTTTAACACGATCAGAAATTCATTGAACCTCTCTAGTAACGGTACCTGCATAAGGACTATGGGTTGCAAACTTGTTTTTCAATAACATTAAAAAATGGTAAATGAAATTGTTGCTTATTGGATGAGTATTCTGGTTGCTTGGATACCAGATAACTAGGAATTTACTGTAGTTTTATATATTTTGAATGTAAGTTTTAAATGTTCTGAACCAAGTATTTTCTTGTCACAGGCATGGCAGTTGAGGTTTTCACACTTGGTAGGGTATGGAGCAAAATACTATGCATACCTTTTGTCACGTGCTGTGGCAGCATGGATATGGCAAACATATTTTGAAGCTGATCCTCTGAATTCATTTTCTGGAGAACGATATCGTCAGGAATGCTTGGCACATGGTGGAGGCAAGCCAGCACGTGAGCTTGTAGCTGATTTCCTGGGAAGAGAAGTCACTCCTGAAAATCTTGCAAACAGCTTAATAAATGAAATTGACAGTAAAAATGAGCATATTAATAGAATTCGGCAGTAATGTTTTGTTATGAGATATGTATGAGCTGCAGGCCAATAAACATCATGATATATGAGTAGAAAATGAGAGTGTACTGGATAATGTGCTTTAGTATCCAGTTAATTTGTTAAAATATCTTCTACATTTGCGTACTTTGTACATAATATATATATATATCACAAATATTATATACTCTGTTATGTTGAAACAAAGGGGGCTGGTAGCCCAGATGGGCAGATCCAAAATGAATGGGAGATTGGGGAATATCCTTGTAGATGTGATATGATATTAAAGGCCAAAAGCCCTTCTGGGAAATAGGGGCTATATTTGACTGATTTTTTGGTTTATTTAATGGTGGGCTGACTGAGTAAGTGGGCTCAAGTGATAATGAAAGGAGCCCATTTCAAATCTCAAGCCAAGGCTCCAACTATTCTCACAGGTATCTTGTGGTTTTCTTCAGTCCTTCCAAGCAAATGCTAGAATAGTAGCTCAAAATTAGACAATGACCAGTTCATTCCCATCCTTTTCAATTCAGTATACACTATATCTAATCAATCAGTGTTCTGTAACGAGTTTCTAACAGCATTGTTAAATAATCTACAAAATAGACTATGAATCTGAAATGACATGATCATGGTCTATTTTAATGTACTGTCCCAATATTTGGAGGCACTGAGGAAAACCACAAAAAGTCTGTCAGGACAGCCAGTGTCCAGACAGATTTGAAATTGGATCACTCAAATATAACTGGATAACCACCTGATTGGGATGTTTGGTGACTGACGTTATGAGAATGGCAGGTGGATGGAATTGGCTCGGGATCGTGTACAGTGTGGACTTTGGTATAAGATGTCAAACCCTTCAGTGTTAATTCCACAGAGAGGACCATTTACCAAGTAGTTCTATAACTGAACTAAGATGTCTAAGGTTCTATCATGTTTTGAGACTTATAGCTATGTAACAGATTGAAAGAGCAGTTTCATTGTTGTACCAAAAACATTACATTTTGATAGAGCTTCAGTCATTTCTGAAGCTAAGCCACTGATAATTTTGTTATGAAAGTATGCTGCAAGTTAAACTGTAGAAACACATTTCTCCTTTGAATTCCAGGTTTCTCAACAACATTTCAAAATAATGGCTGATATGCAGCACAATCCAAAATCGTTACAGAATTAACCATTTCTAGTATTTTGCATACTTGACTCAGCATCTTAATCCTGACCAGGGTTACAACAATGAACACACAAGATCGGGAACAAATGCAAATATAAAATCCAGGACAAAGTAAACATGTTCTATTTTATGGAAATATCAACAATTCCATTGTTTGCAGAAATTTCAGGGCAACTATGAAAAACAACAAGCAACATGGGGTAAAATGGTACTCATGTCACAAGACAGAAATGCTGAATTGCCCAGTAATATCACAGTCCTTCCATGGGAAAAACAAACCGCATACAAAAAGGGCGGAGATACGTGTTCCAACAGAGCACATACACAGTGCTCCATATTTATTGTGTAATTCATGTATTCTTTTTAATTTAATGATCAGTACCTCAGGTGATGATTTAAACAAGGATTTATGAAAATGGTCTGTCATGAAAAATGAAACATCTTAAAAAACCAAGGCAAGCCCTGGGAGTGAAACATCTTTTTATCCCACTTCCCATGTTTCATAAGATGGACTTATCATTTGTTCACGTGTCCTTTACACATATCCACAAGGGCAAACTGTTAAGCAGGAATTTTAGATCTCTGTACTGAGGCATATGTGTATTTGTATATGCCTATGGACATGTGGACAGTGGACTTTGTTGCATGACAATGTGAGACCACACACAGCTCTGAGTGTCAACAGATTTCTCGCCAAACAACTTTACTATGCTTCAGCATCCTCTGTACTCCCCTTACCTCTCTCCACGTGATTTTTTTGTTTCCATGACTGAAAAAAACGCTAAAAGGACTATGACATGAGAATATAGAGGCCATTCAAGCGGCTGTGACAATGGAGCTTGCAGCCATTCTGAAAGAAGCATTCACCAGCTGCTTCCAGGACTTGCTGAAACACTGGCAGTGGTGTTTTGACTGGAGAGGGGACTACTTTGAAGGTGACAGGAACCATTAGTTCATAAGTTGAATTTTGTATTTTTTACAGACTCAGTCTTGGAACTTTATGGACAGAAGACAAAGGTTGTATTAACTGAAGGACAGTGGTGCACCATTAGGGGTAGTTGCTGTGGTATGGTAAGAGGAACTCTAGAAGAAAAATGTTCATACCTGATGAAATGAAAATCAGTTTTGGTCTTTTAATGACAACTGGGAGTAAGGTTTGAGATAAATATTGCAGCATAACAAACAAATTTTGCACACTTCAATGTTAGAAATATTCCTTTTGTCCTTTTCTATACAATTTCCACGCAGTCTTGTAACACAAGCCATTTCGGTGTAACTTTCAACACTCACCTCAACAACCACTGCTTACTGCAATCATAAAACAAGTAAGTGCAAATTTTAGCAACTTCATAGTCAGTGTATAGGTTATGCATTAGAAAAACGACTTTTAGGCCTCATCCTTCAAGACTCATTCACACTGGACATCCTCTAAAATGCATAATATAAAGATACAAACAGCAGTTTTATCTTTAAATAATCAAATTCAAGACACCCTAATTACATTTTGGGACACAAAATTTTCTCCTGAAATATTGTCCAGAAGCCTCACTATACAAAGGCAAACAGTCAAAGCTCTAATGCATGAAGGTAATAGACAAACATATCCTCAGATGCATATGTACAAAATGATGCGACTGTCTTGTGTAAATAATACATAAAATATTGTTACAATTTAATCGATTTCATGTTCCCTACATTTTCAATCAGAATTAATACAGAAAAGTGCACTGAATAGTATCTATATCTTGCAAAATTTTGAAGTGGCCCAAAACTAAAAATACATAATACATATATAAGCACAAAAACTTTGTTTCACGAGTATTTATTTTGCTCTGGAGAAACTGATGCTGTAACACTGCATTAGTCTGTGCAACAAAGATTTATGGTTGTAACTTTCTCTGCTCAGTGCCTGCAGTTTGATACTTCCTTGTGCTGTAAGGTTTAGCATGTCTTCCTACAGTTTGTCACAGTAGGTAGATGGCTGGCTCATAACATCCAGTTACCAATAGTATGTACTCCTATAGTTTCTCAAATATACAAGTTAAAAATGAAAGGTATGTTGTATGGTGCGAGTATAGGAGGCATGAATGTAAGATTCCACAGTCTAGACATTGACTTCATGGAAGAAAGTGGTTAACATATGTTTTAGTTCCCCAAGGGAAGAGCCCTTAGTCAACTGGGTCACAAAGCTGTAGCTCGGATGGGTCTGAATGTGTGCTCACAAAAAATACTAATTTTAGACTGACAATATCTGTTATTGTGGTATGCTAGAACTGTGAAAACTTCTGGGAACAATCAAAAAAAGTAGCAGAAGAAAGGCACTACCATCCTGCCCAAAATACAGACCATTTGCTGAAATGACTTGTGAAACATAACACTCTCATATTTACATGACAAGTGATGAGCTCTTTTCTCTCTTTATAATGTCTGCTTTCTCTTGCACAGTCTCACAGTGTAGGTACAAATAGAAAAGAATTCTCATTCATCTTCACTCACTGACATATTTTAAGAGTAGTTTTATTTTCTTTTTACACTTTTCAGTCACATAACACTGCACTGTTGCCTTACGCAACATAATTATACTGGTTAGGGTTGTCTTTATCCCTTTCCATGTAGTCCCGATCGATCAGTGACTCAATGCGTTTCTTCAAGTCAGCAGGCTGAAAAGAAATACATGTTACAAACAAGACACGTTCTGGGAAATTCACTTCAGGCCAAAATATTTACAGCACTTCAATTTATACTTCTGCAGAGTAACACAACATATCTCACAATCACACAAAGCAAATGAAATGATTCTTCCTGTCTGTATGAATTTTGTGTTTTCTACTGACTGAAATCATTAATGAATGAGAGCACCTATAGAGAAGTATGATCACACATTAAACAAGAGGTTCTAGGAAGAACTGCCTATTTCCCTTGATATGACACAGACTGCATAGAAAATGACATGTCCAACAATTCTTCTACTGCACATGCATTGTCATGGTAATGTTTTTTACCAAGCTGCTGCATAGCGACAATAAGGGGAAGCACAAAAAAAATACTGTGTTGCAATTATGCACTCAACTTTTCATGTTCTGCACAAAAAATATGTTTAGGTTCAAACAGAACTATCAAGGTACATTTTCAACAAGGAATCACAACTTTAATTGCATTTTCTGCAAAAATTAAGCATCAGCCAAATTTTAGCATGGGACATTTCAGTCTCAGTCTTCCTCAATGAACTGTGTGGTGGAGTCCATAGGCACAGGTTTCTAGATACCTGTGTGCATGTGGGGGGGGGGCTGGAAAATTCCAGAAATGGCCCACAGCGCTACTGCCATCTTGCCTCACTGTCTGAGCAGTCATGCATTCTTGTGCACTTATTATGTCTCTCAGTATTAAATTAAAATACATCTGATTATTTTTCTGAACAGATCAGTCTCAAATTAATACCAAAATTGAAGAAACCAGCCACCAAAAGCAAGGAAAAAAGTTACAAGTTCATACGAGTCTGCGATGCTGAAGTGGCAAGCTTTTAAATGGCACACATGATTTTCTGAATCCATGACAACTCCTGATCAGGCCATCTGAAAACTGCAAAAAACCCCATGAAAATGCTGTAAAAGTGCAGCATATTGTTTGTATCAATTGAAGAATGACTATCAGAATGATAAGAACAACTGAGGATGGATACAGTGTGTGTTCAACAAATGTTAAACATAAGCCTTGAAAAAGTTTGCGTTAAGATGGTGCCAAAAACCAAGGACCTATGTCTGAGGTGAGATTGACCTTGGGGTACAAAATTCAAACTGAACCTAACTTTCTTGATAATATCACAGGGCAAAATATGGATATTTCGGTATTACCCTGAGACCAAAAGGCAGAGCGCACACTGAAAGGTTCCAAATTCTCCCAGACTGAAAGAAGCAATGATGAGCAAGTCAAAATATGAGGCCATTCTCATATTTTCTACCAAAATAGGTGCTGTGCACTCAGAACTTGTTTCCCAAGGACAAACATCAGGAAATTTGCCTTGGAGTTCTACAACATCAGAGGGGAGAAGTGAGGCTAAAAATTGCATCTTCTAAGAGAAAGGGATTAATTTAAGGTGACTGGAGGAGGTAAAAATCTACATCACACACACACACTAAAAGCAATGTCAGGTGATGAATTCCAGAAATTATTCCAAGTGTGACAAAAGAATGGCTTTGTGTGTAGCTGCAAAGGGGAACTTCTCTGAAGGGGACAACAGCAATTAATTGGCAAGATGTTTTTAAGGTCATTCTTGGAACACACTAGCCATACCTTGTATATATCTTAATCACTACTGCTTTTGGAAAATTTATGAAAAAATGGCTAAAGAAAAGACGAACAGTTCCTAAATTTTTCCTCTTCATTTCATTACGCATATGCTAATTTCACCTATCTAAGGCAAACAGCAAACAATACTCTTGAAGTAACAAAATTTCAAGTAAGGCTAGGTATGTCACTTCATCTTCAGAACAATACTGCCTGCACAATAAAGATATCAGTTTGTGGCAATCACATACCTTGACAGGGAACTTCAGCTGGTTGTAGAGTTCACTTATAAGTAGGTTATGACTCAGAGTTTTCCTCATCTTCATGATGCGTACAATAGCTGCATCTATCTGGTACTGCCTGTCCTGGAACACTCGTTCCTCTGTTGCCTTCTGCTCCTCTGTCTGCAGAAAATATAACCATATTTCCATTCAAACCTGTACTGCATGTTTGACTACACAATTACTGACATAGTATTCTGCTGTTTTGTACCATCATGTTGTCGTCCTCAGTGTGTAGAAGTCATGATGCTGTACTCACACAACCTGTACATTCACATTTCTGTACAATGAATGCCAGACTAACAAAATAACCTGTTAATGTTATATTTTAGCATCCTGTTGCACTGATTTTCATCCATTATATTACGTTANTGGACAAATTTCAGTTCAACAAGGACTTCGCTAATAAATTGTTCCGCATCAAAATTAATCAGATACAGATGAAGGAAACGGTAAGTCTAATGGTCACCACCTAATATCTGACCAGCTGACTGATGGTGATAATAGTCATGCCACTTAAAGTCACCTTACACCTATCTCTAATATATTTATTACCAAGTGGAACAGTGACAACTTGCCTGAATTATATTGAATGCTGTGTTCCTTAAATATTGTCATGTGTATGTGAGTGACTACAGATGGGATTTGGATTGGTGAATGGATTTACTGACCACTTATACACATCACTCAGAATTACAAGTAATTACAGTGCTATCACTAATCTCCAAACTTCACAAATCACCACAGCACCCACCACCCTTTTTGCTAGCCTGCTGTGTCTTGATCAGCCATTCCCTGGTCCACTTAAAAAATTGTACATTTTTTCCTCCAAGTAAAATTGCTTACACACTCTTTTTTAACTTTCATTCTGGAATACTGAAAAATTGCTTGGAATGTTTTGCACAAGTCATATGGGGAAATGGTGAGGATTGACAGTATTTTCATTGTACAGGATATTTTTATCCATTATATGTATACAGTGGCCGTCTTGTAGTGCACTCAACTTCACCTGTCACTTCACAACGTGTGTCGGCAACATAGTCCCATCATCAGGTGTCCCAATTACGTCAATCTATTGCATTGCCTGCCCTCACATGTCTTCACAACACCATTTAAAAAGTCCGTATTTCTCAACTATGATAAATTTACACTCGCTAAAACTTAAGATAATTTATCTTATTTATCATAGTTGACAAATACGGACTTTTTAAATGGTGTTTTGAAGACATGTGAGGGCAGGCAATGCAATAGATTGACGTAATTGGGACACCTGATGATGGGACTATGTTGCCGACACACGTTGTGAAGTGACAGGTGAAGTTGAGTGCACTACAAGACGGCCACTGTATACATATAATGGATAAAAATATCCTGTACAATGAAAATACTGTCAATCCTCACCATTTCCCCATATGACTTGTGCAAAACATTCCAAGCAATTTTTCAGTATTCCAGAATGAAAGTTAAAAAAGAGTGTGTAAGCAATTTTACTTGGAGGAAAAAATGTACAATTTTTTAAGTGGACCAGGGAATGGCTGATCAAGACACAGCAGGCTAGCAAAAAGGGTGGTGGGTGCTGTGGTGATTTGTGAAGTTTGGAGATTAGTGATAGCACTGTAATTACTTGTAATTCTGAGTGATGTGTATAAGTGGTCAGTAAATCCATTCACCAATCCAAATCCCATCTGTAGTCACTCACATACACATGACAATATTTAAGGAACACAGCATTCAATATAATTCAGGCAAGTTGTCACTGTTCCACTTGGTAATAAATATATTAGAGATAGGTGTAAGGTGACTTTAAGTGGCATGACTATTATCACCATCAGTCAGCTGGTCAGATATTAGGTGGTGACCATTAGACTTACCGTTTCCTTCATCTGTATCTGATTAATTTTGATGCGGAACAATTTATTAGCGAAGTCCTTGTTGAACTGAAATTTGTCCATGTCCTCAACATCACGACCTCTTGGGGTCTTCTGCAATACCCGTGCTTTACCGCAGGCTAGAGACTGTAAAGTTCTACGTAGTTCACCATCCTGGAAAAATGGTTATAATTTTGTTGGATTTGAGGTTCTGACAGTGGTGCCTAAGAAAAGTACTAACCTCCCACCCATGTTTAGGTCTTCCTAGTGGTCTCTTTCCACACTAAACCTCCACTGATTCCCTCCAGGAATTAAAAATAAAATGTTACACAACACACAATATGGATGTTCTTAAGACCCACAACTTTTACTTGTAACAATTTTGATATTATGTAAATTTAACACGATATTACACATATTTCACGTAGTACAAGGATAAACAGTTGATGCCTCTATACAATGTGGTATCTGTACTGCTGTTAGCAACACATGAATATCAAAACCAACAACTGTACAAAAACACACAAAAAATTCTGTCCTCTAAATCAGAGTAAACTCTCCCTTCTTGTTTCATATGTAAAAGTTTGAGACCTTGAATCCATTATCATCAGTCATTCCCAGCTGTCAGTTGAAAATACATTTCCTTGATTAATTTTTGATTAATCCTGCATGTGCATGTAGGGAAGTAATGGGACACTATCAGCTGACTTGCAGAGATTTGTAGAGGCTGTTGATGGTGTTCTTGAAGTTCTCCCATTAATTCAAAAATTAAGTTCCTACATTTGTCAAAGTACATCACTATTAGTGGATAACACTGGCAGTCATTCCAATATACAACATAAAACAACCTAATGAACAGCTGGTTAGCAATACCTCTATATTTGTGAAAGTCCTTAGCTCTTCTAATGACAGTTCATCAGAACTGTTGAAAAGTAGCAGAACCAAGGCTTGAAACAAGGACACCATGAGCTCCTTCTTGCCCTGCAACAGAAGAATAACAACAAAATGGTGAATAAAGCATCTGAAACTGAATAAAGACAGCCTCATTCAGCTGAATACAATGAACTACATTCCAGCAATCTCAATTGTGCCCAAACATGGAACGCTTATTATCTGACATGAAATGAATACATAACAGAGACCTTACATCCATGACAGACTTGATCTCAATCTCAATTAGTGAGAAAAATTTAATTTTGGTACATATTTGTGCACAATATTCTCTACATTATATTAATTTCATGAACTCTCTCAAAAATTTCTCATTGTCCAAGAATCTGGTACAGTGTTGCCTGGATATTAAGTTTGGTTTTTGAAGTCCTGCCTAGACATTCGTAAAAAATAATGTAAATTTTCCCATGTATAAATTCTCCTACACAACATTTTCCTGCTTTTTTAGTTAATTTTGTAACACACTTTTCAGAAAGTTTCCCATCAAACACATTTAAAATAATACTGATGAATAGAATACTGTGTGCAAGTCTGATCATAGTACAGTGCATTCAGTTAAGCAGGAAACTTCGCAACACCACTGACACGGCCCAATGTTCCTCATAAATTTCTACCGTAACTGCTGACAGCAAAATGAGTCATTAGCACTGATAAACGCGTGCCGTCGGGTGGCATGATCTTGTCACTGCAGTTAAGTCAATTATTAGTCAGTCTGTGTTAGAGATGTTGATAGGTGGTTGACATTTATGCTGAAATGAAGTTCACTATTGAACAGCGTGTATTTATTGTCAAAACTTTTATATGAAAAAAACTTACAGAAAATGTATCAGTAAGTTTCATTGTAAATTTCCTGATTCACCAGTTCCCACAAAGTCATGTGTAACCAAGCTTGTGAAAAAGTGGCAGGCCACAGGTTCAGTGTGTGACATAAAGAAGCAATTGAAGAGGATTGTGCTGACTGCAGAAAAAGTTTGGGATATTGAGGCACGACTACAGATCAATCCTCAATAATCGTTAAGATGCTTAGGACAGGAAACTGGTGTTTCGCTAGGATCTGCTTTCACAGCCACAAAATTAATCAAATTTTGCCCGTATACAATAACATTTGTGCATGAGCTGAAACAACCAGATTATGCAGCAAGAATTCGTTTTTGCAACTGGCTGCTGCAAAATGTGTACAACGGAATTGTGGATCCACAGCTTCTGTTCATGACTGATGAAGCGTGGTTTCACGTTAGTGGCCATGTCAGTGCACAAAATGTAAGAATATGGAGCAATGAAAATACACTATCAGCAAGTGCCATTACATAGTAAAAAGGTGGGGGTGTGGCATGTTGTAAGTCTGCGGTAACTCACTGGCCACTTATTTTTCCACGAAACCGTGAACTCTAACCGCTATGTTAATGATATACTAAATCCGTTCTTCAATCAGCTGACTGCTGAAGAAAGACAATATGGATATTTTCAGAAAGACAACACTACAGCACATAAGGCTAATGTAACCATGGACGCAATATGGGAAGTGTTTGAAGACAATAATTAGCAGGGGACTATGGCCTCCGAGATCTCAGTTTTTCAATTCTTATCTTGGGGAAACCTAAAGAGAAGTCTATAAGAATAATCCTCGAAGTACTGAAGCTCTGCGGAATGAAATAACATGCGTAATTCATTCAATTACCATGGACCAATTTCAGAAAGTGTCGTATAATTTATTTATGCGATGCAAGGCATGTCTTCAAGCAGAAGGGTGTCACTTTCAGCACCTGTTATAAAGCACAATAAGTTTGTGTTATCTTTTTATAGTACTCTTAGAATGTGTGCATGTACAGAAACTGATGTGAGGGAATAGTCGCAGAGACACATTACATCCACTGTACGCTAGCAAGAGTGCGCGTGTTTATCAGCGCTAATGACTCATTCTGTTATCGGCAGTTACAGCAGCAATCTGTGAGGAATGTTGGGCTGGGTCAGCGGTGTTGCGAAGTTTCCTCCTTAACTGAACGCACTGTATGTTTAAAAGGCTTTACAACCATTATTCATTTCTTGATAATCAAACTGTACCAAAGATGATAACTGATTGTGAACCACTTCGTATCTTGTACCCACCCAAATGACTGTTCCTGTCTGGTTCCACAGTTTTCATTATTCATCTTTTACTACATAAAGTGCATCACTCAACACCTACTTTTGCTCATTCAATTTTCAACATTCTTGTTTCATTGACCAGTGAGCTTGGTGTCATATGTGTACGTGTGCTTTTTTAAGTTTAATAAGAGCAAGAAATTGTTGCTATTACTTGTAATGTAGTGTACACTAATGTAACAAAAATATGACAGTGGTTCCAATGAAAAGGAAAACACTGACCTTGTAAGCAAAACTTGATGGTATATAAAGTGTGGAAGCAAATCCAAATGACATGTGTTCAGATGTTTATGTTACTCTTACACAATTTGTAGGTGGTCCATTATGACTTGTTTTCTATTAATTCTTCTTTACCACTAAAGTAAAAAATAGCTGTCATAATAATCTAATCATAATAAATCTATCCCTTTAACAGGCCATGAAGGTCCACAGGGTTGTGAGACATCGAGGCCCCCACCCTTTTCTCTAGACAATTGGCTCACAGATGGCAGTAAGGTCGTCAGACTCACGTGCCGGTCACCCTTGACCCCCCAGGAAGATTCCTGGTAATCATTTCTCTTAGAGGCTGAGTCAACCCCAGGGCCATAGCGAGGGGGGAAGGATTAGGTAAACTGGAAAAAAAAATCCACCTTGTCAGGGCTTCAACCCATGACCTTCTGGCTTGCAGCATAGTGCCTCAACCAACTTTGCTACTGCATGCCCCCATACTACACATTTGTTTTCTTTATAACTGAAATATTATAAACAATTGCTTTGTATCAATATACAAAAATGAGCACAGTTTTATGTTTTCCTTATAAAAGTTTTCCCCTTTAAGATGTTCTTTTCCATAAGTTCCACTAAGAAATACTCATCATGGAAACAAAGTCAGTGTTGCAAAATATACAATCTGTAATTTTGATCTGAAACACTTTTCAACACAAGAAATAATAATTTAAGCATCACTGTAGTACAACTGCAAAGTTTACATGCTTTGTCACCAACAGTTTACACAGTGAAGTATCTGTCCTACTGCTTAGTTATATAAACACTAGATGTGCACCTGTTACAAACAACCATCAAAACCAAACAAGGATGAAAAACTGAAAACAATGTGTACTCCAACTAGAGAAGACCTTCCACTCCAAAGTGCAAACAAGTGCATATAACATTCAATCTACATGTATGTATCCCAGTCAGAATTTCACGCAAATGTTTACCTGCACAAAGGTAGCTTTCAGCACACAGTGTCCCAGTGTTGGCTGCCACTGAAGTTTGCGTCCACTGTGTTTGCCTAGGTAGAATTTATTGAAGATAGTCTGATACTGAACCATTTCCATAGGAAGGGTTACCTCTAATACAGGGTAGGTAGGCCAGTACCCCATTGTCAGGATGTTGACTGTCAAGTCAATATTTGATAACTGTGGATAGCGCAAGTTGCCCATGTGCTAAAACATAATAAAATCTGTGATTAAACACAACAAGGCCAAAAAACAGATGTCCAGTTTCATATATAAAATTATTTCCAAGAAGTGGTTTCTATCCAACACAGTCTATTCATATGGAACCTAATGCAAACAAGTAAAGATTACCCAGGGGTTTCCTGAAACCTCATCACCATCACTAAAACATGTTGCAGGTAAATACTCCAATTATGGTTTATTTCATGTATACAGGTTGTCCCAGGAGGAATGGACCAAACTTCGGGAGGGTGTTCCTTATGTTAAAGTATGCCGATATAACCCAAAACACCTATGTCCAAAGTTCAACGGTTATGGAGATAATGGCCCGAGAAAAGTGTGGTCTTCTGGCGGGCCCACGCACTATACCTGTCAGCTGAGACCTCGTTATCTGTTTGTCCTTGAGTGTCGTGATTCACACTAGCCGTAAGCTCATGTGCTACCTACAGAGTACGTTGCGGCGGGGTCGTGATTAGTTGTGTGATGAGTTGCTGAAATGCCTCTTGTGTTTTCACACGTGGAATATTGTGATATGCATTTTGTGTGTGGATTTTGCGGTGGCAATGCACATGCTGCTGTTGAAGAATACCAAAGGCGTTTTCCCGATCGAAGGATTCCATCTCGAAGTGTATTTACGCGAATTCACCAGACATTGCATGATACTGGTTCTCTTCCGAGTGTTTCTGTGCACTCTGAAAGGGAGGATGTACAAATGATAGACATACGAGAGAACATTCCTGAGATGGTTCAGAGAAGTCCGCGTCTGTCCACTCGTAGANAACTTTACATTATGAAGAGTTATCCTTACCATGATCAAATGGAACATCTGGAACCAGGCGACCATGCACAGCGTATGGATTTGTGCCACTGGATAAAAAACTCATCCCGAACTGTTAAGCGTCATTTTATTCAGTGGCATCTTTTAACCCTTTGACGTGGTCATTTAAATTCCGCGGCCGCGGCTCCTGCGGTAATATATTCAGCCGGCCATTTAAATTTTGCTCGAAAATTATTTATTCATCATTGTTCTTAAATTCTATGAGATAGGAACATGAAACTTTCACTAAAATGATCTTAAATTGTGGTTTTATAACCTTACCTTATAATATGGGAGCCCTGTATCTCGG